CTCATTGCTATTGATTAGCAAATGTTTTTCACTAGGTTGGTCCAAGGTAACTGCCTTGGCCTAAGTGATCCACAGAAGGGATCTGTTTCTCAAACCACAAATCTCCTATGTGACTGACCTTCCATTAAAGACAGAATGACTTAGATTGCTTGCTTGGGCTAGAATGTAAATGTCTCTTTGCCTGAATAAGCCATATATCATGTTAAACAAAAGTTCTCAATTATCCACATCATCTCAGTGAACCTGCCAGTGGACTTCCAATTGACAAGATTGAGCAATAGAAAAAAATTTCCCTTTTAATGGTAGCTGTGATCCCGAACCCCGTTTTCTTGCTTTTGCCACTTCCCTAGTGACCTGAAGGGTCTTGGAGGCTGGCCCTCAGTCACCTTTGTTCAGTTACGCTCTGTTTTGTCTGAATAAACAGCACCCATGAGGTAGGTCAGCTCTCATGGCTGTGAAGACTCACAGTCAAGGTGATGGAAACAAACTCCCCCCCCGTGAGGGCTCTGTCCTCTCCTCCTCCTACTTAGTATTTATTTTCAGCACCTGTTTGATGCGGTTTTTTATCCTCTATCTATTGCACTGTTGTGACTTGTTGGCCATTATTTGATTTTTGTACCAAAAAAAGCTTTGTTATAGAAATCAGCATACTATTTTTTTAAACCTGGAGAGATGATATTATGGCGACTGAAAATATGGTCAGGTGTCAAATATAAATGTATAAAAGCCTTCTTGCTGTCCTGTTGGTCATATTACATTCATTTTATATTTACTGGCAATATTGGAGGTTTCTTTTTGTTTGTGTAAGCTCTAATTTCTATCAAGGTGTCATGGATTTTTAAAATTTAGTATTTCATTACAGTTGTCTCAGTGTTGGTTAACTAATTTTTGCCAGAACCATTATTGATCAAACAAATAAATTCAACAGCCATTTGAGAAAAAAATGCTTCTCATTTTTTGGTATACATTTTTTCTTTGAAATAATTGAGTGCCCTGTGGCTGTTAAGGAGTTGGTTTGGTATTTCTTTAGCTCCTAAAGTGAAAAAAAATGTTTTAACTCAGTTTGTGTTCCTCACCCAGGCAGAATTGGTGCTGCTCACTGGCTGCTAGGGTTTGCAGCAGTGCCCTCCACCTTCCCCACCCAAACCAGTGCTTGCCACTGAATGAGCACGTGTTTGCACAGCCCAGCTCTCCAGGTCTGCAGCTGCTTCTGCGAGTGATGTCCTGGTTCCACTGGAAAGTGAATTTTGCCCTTCTAGCATGATGCACGAGTTAGCTGGCCCAGCTTGGCAAAAAGGCAGGCTGGTTATTACTACGTGGCTTTCCTGACAGAGATCTGTCAGGTGGATTACCTAACTAATGCTGATCAGATGATTCCTGAGTGACCAGCTTCAGATTCTATTTCTGGGAGAGCTGGGACTGTATGTCTTGGTTTGGTGATGTGGGGCCTTAGCATAAGCAACTCCTTGTTGTGTCTACCTGCTGTCTTGTTTTTCACAACAGGAAACTAAGGCTCAAAGCAGTGGTGTAACTTGTAGGTGGTCGTTACTGCCCTCATTGTCACCACACTCCCCTGAGACTGAGAGGGAACAAAACAGTGTCTGCAGGTACCCTGGAACCAGAAGTTCCGATGGGTTCAAAATGGGCATAGGGGAGGGTAAACAAGTATGATCCTCACCTGAACCAGAGTACCACAGCAGAGTGCCACAGCTCCAACAAAAGGCAAGGAACTGATGACAAGTCCAGCTACAATTAGAGAAAGCAAGAGCCATCTCCGGGAGGGTGTGTGTAGCCTTCTGAAAAGGTTGCACCAATAATTTTTTGGTTTGTCACATGGGGATCAAAAAATATGTCATTTATTGTTACTCAGATTATGCCAGTGACCTCTGCTGTCAGCCTTCATAAGCAGGGAGTCAGTAGTGTAGCGGGAGGAGTAAGTGTACTGTAATGAAACATTAACTTGGCGCTAGTCAGTGTGGCGGCCCAAACACACACTTGACCCAAGGGCAGCTCCTCCAGGGATGAAGAGAGCTGAGGAGGAGTGGTGTATAGCTCCCTGGGTTCAATCTGTTGATTTAGGCTAACCTTACTCTGGGGTCATCATGTGAAATAGACACCCTCTTCTATTTGAATTTCAGATCCACAGTGACTAACCACTGAGTACAAGGGTGTCCCAGGCAATCCTGGGCTTGAGAACCCTGGGTTTTTTGCGGGGGGTGGGGGGAGTGGATTGGATTTATGAGCCCCTTTGCTTATAGCAGTAAGCTCAACAAAACCTTTTTCTGCCTTTTCTCTTCTTCCTGTATCTTTCTTTCTTTTTGGTCTGGTTACACCGACAGTTTCTCAGCTAGCAACTGGGCTAATAATGCCTATTACAAAAGGTTTAATGATTCTAAGTACTGTACACATCAGTTATTATTACTTGGGAGACAGACAGAAAAGAACCCAGGAAAGATTTAGACATAACCAGATTTGGCTCTTTGCCCGAAGTGTAAAAGTGTGAGATACTCACTAAGCACATGCACGTGTTCTGATACCGATGTCTATGGGCTGCATGTTACTTGGTCACAAATTGAAGCAGCTATTAAAGATGGTGAGCCAAACGGAGTAGTCTGGGTGGCTAGAGCAGGCAGCTACACTAGTTCTACGACGCTGCTGTACCTGGCTAGCTCTTGCCGCTTCTGGCACCAGCAGGAAATCTGCCTCTGTATGTTCCTAGACTTTGGATTCACCAGCTGGTGCTGCCATCACAGCTGCTGTATCATGACTGCCTGTCACAATGGCCAGTCACTGTGTGGGCCATTGACACTGAATGAATCTTGAAGCATTCATTTGCAACTGAGGAAAAAAATGCAAATATTAGATGCTTAACAATCTTTTTGAATGTTGTGCTGTTGAAGTTAAGGTATCAAAATAATGGGCTCTGACTGGTGTGGCTCAGTTGGTTGGGTGTTGTCCCACAAAAGCAAAAGGTCACCAGTTTCGTTTCTGGTCAGGACATATGCCTGGGTTTTAAGTTTGGTCCCCAGTCAGGGCACGTGTGAGCCAACTGATTGATGCTTCTCCCCCTCTCTTCCCCTTTCTAAAAATGAATAAAAATCTTTTAAAAGAAGCCTAATCAGTGTGAAAGATTCATATGCTAAACTTACTGAATAAAAAACTCTATAAATAACAGATCTTGTCAAATTTAAACCAGCAAAATTTGGTCTAAAAAGTAAAGATTGGAAGAAGTAAACATACAACAGCACTGCACAATGTCACATAGACTAAAATGTGATCATTGAATGGAATACTTGTCAAGCTTTCTAGGAAAGAATTCCTAAGGAAGATAATTTCTCTAAGATAAAACTATAAAAAGTTTATTCTCTATAGAAAATGGGTTCAGTAATTAAACTGGCTTAATGGAGTTCAAAGAAAATTCCTTTATCAAAGACATCACTGTTGGAATTTTTGTGTTTAAGTCAAGGTTTTTAAGATCAGAATCTCTACTAGGTAAAAACGTTCCTATTCAAGGGGTCACAAAATTACCTCAGTTTTCAGTTTCCAATGAAGGGATCTGAGAGTTGGGCCTCCTTTCCCACCCTCACCTAAAATGCCATCTGGTTTTCTAGTGGGAAGGAGATCCATGATCTTTAACAGGCCCTGACCTATCCAGGTCACTTAAAAGCCATGAAGCGTCTAGCCACCCTCCACATGGGGTCCCCCAGTGTGTCCATCCACACGTGGGCTCTGGTGCAAGGTGCTTTGGGGGGCACTGAACCCAGCCAGGCCCCTTCCTCTTGCTGGCACCTCCCCCCTATGGCCAGCTCTTACCCCTGGCTCTAGTCCGTTCTACAACTAGCATGATGAGTTTATAAAGGCTTATGGCAGAAATTAAAAAATACAAAACCAGAAAGTCTTGCTTACTCATGTTTATTTCCAGACTCAACTTTTCCTCTAGTTTGAGTCAGGATTATTCATTTTAAAGAAGCCATTTTGCTTGGTTGAGTTATTGGGTCCTTCTTTTCATCCCTTTTTACTCACTGCTTCCGTCTCCTGGAATTTACAGAAATGTTACCATACATGGAAACAATCATGTGTTCTAGAGCCTGGGACACAGCACTGTTTCCTATAGATGGTCCGTTTAAAACCTTGCCACCCGTCCTCGCAAAACCACTCAGTGCCCCGCAGTGCACTAAGACGTGCCTGGTGGTTCAGGCATTCCCTCTTCCCCTTGATACTGGAGGGGACATGACATTCCGGACGATTCCTTCTGCATATTCAGCTCGCAGTGTGCTGAGAAATATCCATCCCCGTAGAAAGTGGAACCTGGACCTAAGAGGTGTAAGAGTAATCAGTAAGGAGCAGTGCATCCAGTGCCTGCTCAGTAGACTGAGGGTTGCCTAGAACAGTGGTTCCTGACAAGATGTTGGCGGCTTGGGCAGCTCTTAGGGCACCAACCTGGTGATGCTCTCAGGAACTTGGTGCTTGTCCAGTTCAGAGTTCGAAGGCTCTAAAAACAACAGTGGTCTGGCACCACAGAACTATCCCTAAGACTTGGCAAAAAAGGTGACCCTTCAGCCACTCCACCAAGTGGTCAAACAGGAAGTCGGCTGGCTAGCTAAATTTGACGGGGGGACACTCAGAAAGGTCACAAAAGCTCACAAACATGTTTCTCTCAGACAAGGGTAAGGGCGGTAGCAATCACTTAGCATCCCATGAGCTAGAAGTCAGACAGGATGGTGAGGAAGGAGCCTGTGGCTGGGAGGGCTCGGTGGAAGGGGAGGACGAACACCTGGCAATGACCAAATGCACGGGCTGAGAGAAATGCAGTTTTCCTCTTCACCTTGGTTATTCAAAAATCCTAAGATATCTCAGAAGATATTAGCTACCAATGTTAAGTCCCTATGAGGACATAATTATTGCCACTCTACTCATTTTTCTATTGTGAAGTTAACAGTCTGAGTATGAATTGTTTTGCAGTTGTTGGTTTTTTGTTTTTTTGTTTTTTTTGCCTCCTGGGGGATTTAAAAAAACTATAGAATCATCAATTTTTTAGATTTGCTTGCTTTTATAACTGCCTCTGGAAGCCCACCTTTTCCCCTGGAAGATGCTGTGTAACAAAAGCTGCACCTTAGGCGGGATCCAACAAGCCCTTTCCATCCTCAGAATTCGGCTGCCACAGCTTGTAACACATGATGGAGGACAAGCCACGCCTGGACCAGCCTTGGGGAGCACAGCACCCAGGATACCCCCGCCACCTGCTAAGAGCAGAACCGTTCCCAGGGGCATGTGCAGATTTCAAAGAAATTACTAAACTAGTTAAAAGACAAATTTTTAATCTAGTTTTCCCATTTTATACTAAGTCATTAATACAGGTCACAAATTGCATTTATTCGCAGATATCTATAAAACAATCAAAAGTGTATATATCTCTCTATACAGATCTTATTAATAAATTTTATTGGACAAGAGAACTTGTGCCACAACAGTTTTAAACAGCATGATTAAAGACTGCAACACTCTTAAGAGTGGTCACAGATATGTACAGTATGTGAAGAAAAAGTTGCACCTCAGAGCTGATCATGATCAAGTTAAAAACACCTGACGTACAGTAAACGTGCTAATTTCATTCAGGTCATGACCAGCATGAAAAAAATTCAGGACATAGATAACTCAGCAAACGTTCTGTAAATGTGTACAGCAATATGCTGCATTTATGAGTTAAAATCATATTCTAGTTTAGTGTTAGCATCAAGCCCTTAGGAGAAATTCTTAAAAATCTCCTTTCTCATTAATATACGTCAAAAACTATTCACGCTTAGGGCTGGACTGGCGGCTAACCACAGAACCGCACAGGTCCTTGCCTGCGTGGAAACAGTGAGGGCTAATACTGAAGGTCTCTTTCGTATCCTGGCTCACAGCCACCTTCTGGCTATATTCCATCTATCAGTCATTAAATAAAACCAGGAGAAAGCAACGCAGGTCTCTGGGAATCTCACCCCTTCCATAAGGAAAATGCTCTGCCAATTCAAGTTTCACTCAGTCAGGAAGACAGAAGATTTAAGGCCTCGGTGACAATTATAATCCTCTGAGAAATTATTTTCCCTTAAAGTCAAGATAAGATAATAGTGTTTACTGTACTTTCTCTTGACTGTTAAAATCCCTGGTGTCAATGTAGGCAACTTGCATCTGCAATTAAGCCTGCAAGAGAGGAAGGTCTCTCTTCCTCACCAAAGTGTCCTAGCTCTCACACATGCGGAGCACGTGTAGAACCTCGGCTTCTTAGGAAGCAGGAAAGACACCGAGGTTTAAGCTTTCTAGTAGGTTGAGGAAGCTGTGCTCATGGCATCTTCAGAGATTTTGGTACTGGCAGGGTGGATGCTTGCAAAATACTTGACATCGCTGTCACGGTCCATCTGAAGAGCCATGATGGTTTGCTCTACAGCTTCCTGGTGACAGCTGGCAGAGGTTAGGAAATAATCTGGAAATGAGAAGTGCAGATTACAAATGACATTAGTCTAACATCCCAGTTTTGTTAATTTCAAATACACAAAGTTCTTGGTCATTATAAAATGATTTTTCTACAAGTAAAAACAAGCTACACTGAATTATAAACTAACTCAAACCGATGTGTTATATAAAAAAAATTCCCAAATGTAAGAGAATTTTCCGATACATCTTGACTGACTACATCTCATAATGTTCAATGGCATTGAAACTAATACATTAAAACTTATCCTAGTTTAGCTATTGGTTAGCTCAGTAAAAGAAGAAACACTTCCAAATACCAAACACACATGAAAAACAGAGTCTTCTCTAGCCATTTTATTATGATTGCTATTTAAAAAAAAAAAGTTCCAAAGAAGAAAAAAAAAAACTATTCATTTACTCATATCCTTTGAAGTCTATTAAAAAAACTTCTGTGATTTATTCATGAGTTCATGCATTCAAATGATATTTATTAAGCATTTTGAGGGGATTACAACAAACAGAACAACTTGATTCTTAAGGAGCTTATAATCTGCATCAAAACGAATAGTATGGAGCACTTGTGTTCTTCCTGATGAATGAAGACGAGAAGGGAAACACACGCCTCCTGCTCAAGGGGGGTGGGGAGTGCTCCAAAGACAGTAATTTTTCCTAGTCATAAGTGAATGCCCAATTTTCAAACTAGTAAGTTTTAAATTATACAAAGAAATTCACCTAGAAGGGCAACAAATAAAAGTCCCTTTCTTCACCCTTAGTCTTCTGTGTCCTCTTGCAGAGAGACTACTATGAACTACTTACAATATATTTTATGAAAGTAATATACTGCTTAGATTCTCATCTATTCATGCAGTCTATTCATGTAGTCTCTGAATCCCCTTCCTGCTACAGACACTTTTCCTAAAAGCATCATGTACCTACCTTTTTCTAGTAGAGTTTGTCTTAATGTCTTTGCAAGCAGCACTCGAACATTTGGAACCCTATCGTTTGCTAAGGTTAGCAAATGTGGCATCAGATGCACAGCAAATTGGTCCATGGGAAGGCAATCATCTTCAATGACAGTCTGGGGAAAAGGAGCAACTGCTTTAGATTTGCCAATTTAGTCTAACTAAGCCATAATACTAGTTAACAAAGTCTTTTAGTAACAACATAAGTGCTACAGATTTTAGTTACTGCTTTTTAAACCATTATTCCAGGCACTTGAGAACTCAAAACAAAAATGATGTAATTAAGTCCCCACTGAGAGAGATTTTAAACTGCTCCACAGAGACTTGACATGTTCCTGGTCACATTCATTTTCACATCTGTACTATGGCCCAGACCCCGAGCACGCTCTAGGGCAGGGGTCCCCCATGCCCCAGCCTGCGGGCACTGGGCCGCACAGCAGAAGCTGAGCGGGAACGTAATGCGCTTGAGTCATCACATGATCTACCCCGCCCTGCCCGCACCTGGTCAGTGGAAAAATTGTCTTCCACAAAACCAGTCCCTGGTGTCAAAAAAGTTGGGAACTGCTGCGGATGTGCCAGCTTTATACGGATCTCAGTGGACTACACAGAGGACTTGGTGAACCAGGCAGGTACCCAACTGAGAAACAGGGGATCCTATTAAACAACCAGGTGGCAAAGTTCTGTTCTTTAAGAATAAGAAAGAGGATGTTGAGAGAGGTAAGGAGTGAGTGAATAAACCTAATTCTAGATATAAAAATGTGCCACAAAAGGCTAAGTCTTTGCCTACCTGGCAGACAAAGACAAAGGCTTGACGACCAGACCACTTGGGACATCTACCAAAATTTTCTACGAGCTCGTGGATAAGGTCTACTCCGAATGTGGGTGGTGTTGCCATGTGCAGCTTCTTCACCATCTCACTGACCTAGGAGAGTAAATACGGAGAAGTGATGAGTATCTTCGTTTTGTGATCTTATTAAATACTCTGCAGATCTAAAATTGTAAAAATTTTAATACATACCAACTTGTAAGAAATCCAACGAACAGAAGAAACTTTATCTGCACATAGATTCAGAGCAATGGGGCGTAAATAGTCATAAATATCTCTGGGACTATATAATTCTAGAAGTAAAATCAGTTGTCTATAAAAATAAATTAGAAAAATAGTTAATTTTTTAAAACAAGACAAATGAAAATAGGTTGATCTGAATAATTTGTAAAATGCATATTATTTGTAAGATGAGCACATGCAAAGGCTAGTGATTTACCTGGTCCCTTGTGCACAGCATCACCTCGTCTCTGTATGTCTGTGTCCACAGGGACAGAGACAGAGCAAAGCACTTCTTAACATGAAACACATTTTTTTCCCCACAGTTAACTGTTTTGACTGTGCTAAGAAACCTTCATCTATAATCAGTTCTAGCCATTTTAGGTAGCCTACTGTGTACTTGTTAGGGCTCTAAGCAGCTTTGAAGGGAATGACACATTTACTAGGGATAAGATAAGTAAGTGGTCCTCTACCAACTGTTTCTATTATTGCTGATGAGAACTGAAGACTAACAGCGTCCACCAGGCTCATGTGAGAAGATGCAACAATGCTCATGAAGAAATCACGTGAATGTGAATGAGACTTCTGCCTTTCAGACTTTGAGTTTATTTACATTTGTAAACAGCAGAAATTAAACGGTGGTCATGGTTTTCGATACCAGATATCAATCATGGTCCGAAAGTATTACATGGAAAATTCCAGAAACAAGCAATTTATAAATTTTAAATTGCACACTGTTCAGTGTAGTGTGATAAAATCCTGAGCAATTCCAGTCCTTCCTGTCTGTGGCTGAAGTATCCCTTTGTCTAGCATCTTCACATGTTCATGCTTCCTATCTGTTGGTCACTTGGTAGCCGACTAGCAGATCAATTGTCGTGGTATCACTGAGCTTGCTGTGTCCAAGTAACCTTAATTTTACTTAATAATGGTACCAAAGCACAAGAGTAGTGATGCTGGCCATCTGGATATGCTAAACAGAAGATGTTAAGTGTTTCCTTTAAGTGGAAAGGTGAAAGTTCTTGACTTAATTAAAAAAGTTGTACGCTAAGTTGTTAAAATCTATAGTAAAAACAAGTCTAACTGGGAAATTGTCTAATTTATAAGTTAAAGTTTATCACAAATATATACATATATATATGAGGGAACATAGCATATATAGGGTTTGATACTATCTGAAGGCAGAATTGGGGGAAAAGAACAGCAGAAGGTGCAGCGTTTTAAGGCAAAATTAACAATGTGTGCCTTCCTGAAGGGAAGGAGGCTGCTGCCAGGGTGAATTGTGTGTGTGACTGTGAGAATGTGCTGTTACTCATGACACAGCCAGGGGGGCAACGGTCTGTGCATCGCTGAGAACTCTTGCCCTGACTAAAGACGGCAGCTGAAAGGGTGAAAGACACTGGGGAGCTGACAAAAAAGGCAGACACTAGCGCACCCTAGGAAGAGCCCGATATGAGAGGTCACATAGGAAGTTCCAAGCCGAGCATTTTAATTAGGGCAGGCTGAAAGTCAGAAACGGGAAAGACATGAGGAGGAGGAGGAGGAGGTCTGCAGAGAGGTATGCCGAGAAGTCAGCCATCCGGGCTGCCTGGAGAAGGTGGTAGCAGAGCTGATGGAGCTGTGGGGACCCGCCAGGCCAAGCATAGGCACACGAGAGATGCTTGGAGCTGGACTCTGAGCTGCAGACTTCGGCTTCTCTGAAGGATGTACGAAGTTACTCTTTTGGTATGGGAACTCTTGGTACGGGACATAAGAGGCTGGTGCAAGCTCGCTCTCTCTGGATATTTGGTATTTGGATGTTCTGGACTTCTCCCCCTGTTCCCCACATGGATGGGAGCACCTGTGAGACTAGGAGATGCAGGGCCTACCAGGGGCTTAGACCCCACAAAGGATGAGAACCCACTCCTAGAGGCAGGGTCCCACGCTGGGACAGTGTAACACAGCACATATCTTCCTGAACCACTACATGGTGGCTGAGAACTGCACACCCCAGACCCTGAAGGAGAGAGCTGCTGTGAGAGGACGGCACATTCCAGAAGATGGAGATCTGTTTGTGTGACTGGCTGATGGACAGGTAAAGAGATGGGGAACTTCTGGGCATGGCTGTGGCTTGTAGCTTTTTGGGGAGCAAGGGAAGTTCTGTATCTCATGGGAGAGGGGGGCTCTGAGCAGGAGTGCTCTCAGCCTTCCCCAAGGTTGGAAACCTGTTAATAAAACCCTGTTTCCTCCAACACAAATTGCTGGGTCATATAGACTGGAGGAACCAAGTGGCTGAGCCACGGTTTGCTCAATTACAGTTTCAGGCATCCACTGTGGGTCTTAGAACATATCTTTCAGGGATAAGGGGTGACTGCTGTATAACCATCAATGTAGATAATGTAGCAATGACAAAGGCACTTGTATTAATATGTGAACTGAAATCCTTATTGACAGTTTCTGAACACTGCAAACTTTCTCACTGGCCTCTACTGGGTATGCATGAGAAAATCAAGGGTCAGAAAAGGAAACTGGAGAAGTCCCTTAATAGGCAGAAAGTGACTGACAGATGCTGGGGACAAGCATGAAACCCCATACAATCCCCTGGGCTGCTCTCTCATACAAAGCAAAAGCCTTAAGCTACTAGTAGAGAGACACTGTAGCTAGGGGCAGAGGAGAAGGTAAAACTCTATTCCAGGGAGAGGAGCAGCAGAGCTTCTCAAGCTGAGATCCTACATTGATACAAAGCAGAATTCTCCTGCTGAGCAGGGACAAGAATTCTGAGAAAGCCCAGGCACACAGGGGCTCCCAAAAACTGAGTCTGAACAAAAATAACAGTGGTTCTCTCATATCCCAGGACAAGCCTACCACACTGTAAACAGTCTAAGAGAAGAGACCCCCCTGTTCCCGAGTGGGCAGGAGCAGCTGAAGGCTGAGGGTAGACTATTAACATATGAAAAGGCCCACCAGCACTGCAGCTCTCGCCCTCACCCTCACCCTCACCCTCACCCTGAGCAAGAGGCAAGAGAGCCCACCAACAGAAAACTTAAGAGCTTACGGTGCACTGAAGGTGCCCACAGCAACAACGAACCCAAATCCAGCTCAGTCCAGGCCAGAAGGACTCACCCCTCCAAACTAATGGAGGAAAAGAAATATGCCTATTTATAGTCAGATATAAGGCAAGCTGGAGCTCACTGGAGTGACGTTTTTAATGTACTAAAAGAAAAACTGTGGGTCCCCATTCTATATGGCCACTGTGGAAAATAGTTTGGTGGTTCCCCAACAAATAAACAAAGAATTACCAATCACCTAGCAAATCTCCCTCAAACAAACTGAAAAAGGGGTTCAAATAAAAACCTGTACATGAATGTTCAGAAACAACCCAAATGCCCACTGATGGATGAATGGATTTTAAAAAGTGGTATATTCATGCAATGGAGTATTCTTCAATCATAGAAAGTAATAAAGTGCTGATGCATGCTACATATAACATGAATAAATCTTAAAAACATTATGACAAGTGAAGAAGCCAGACATAAAAAGTTTTATGTTATATAAGTCTATTTATAGAAAATGCTCATGATTCTTCTGGTCAAGATGGCAGTATAGGCAGATATGGCTCACGTCTTTGCACAACCACATCAAAATTACAGCTAAAATATAGAACAACCATCACTCAGGAGTGTCAGGAATCAAACTGAATGGACGTCTGACAACTACAGAATAAAAGAAACTACATCCATCCAGACTGGTACAGGGAACAGGCTGGTCCCACAGCAACGTGGATAAAAATTCGAAGGGGTATCTCGGGGGCAAGTAGTCCCAGGCCTACACGAGGCCCCCAGCCCAGGATTCCAGTGCCAGGAAGATGAGACCCCACAACTTCTGGCTACAAGAACCAGTGAGGATTGAGTGAGTGGAATAAGCTGCTGGAGCCTCAAGCAGTTCCTCTTAAAGAACCCACACTCAGACTCACCTACTCAGACTCACTCCCTCTGAGCTCCAGAAACAGGGTAGCAGCTTAAAGGCCCCAGTGGCATACACGGAGAAGCTAAGTGTCTGGAATCGAGGCAAGCGGAGGCCACTGCTCCTTTGCTAAACCCCCTCCCCCTACAGAGCTGGTAAGCTGGTGGCATATCTTAAGACTCCATCAATCTGACTAACACTGTTTGCCCAGCCCTGGAGATCCCCAGAGGCTCACCCCACCTAAATTAAGGACTTGCCCAAGCGACTTTTCTATATGCATAACTAGTCTTGGCTCAAGCTTCACAGCTTCCTAAATCCTATCAAACAAGCAAGAGCTGGCCTCACTGAGCTCCAGGCCCGGCACTAGCAGGAGCCAGATTAGTTTCACCGCTTGGCTTCAATGGGAATCTCCAAGCCCAGTACAGCAGCAGCCTTCTCAGATTGCTTAATAAATCAGGCAGGGCAGCCCCAGGCAAAACACAGGTTGGGGCTGGCCTTGGCCTGCACCACTCAGGAAACCCCAGGGCCAGTGCACCCAGTGGGCAGCTACAGACCACGTCAGAGGACCACCACCCTGCCCCTGCACAGCTGATCCTCCATGGAGGTTGGAGGTTGGTGGTCAATGGTCAATGGTCAATGGTCAGCTGACTGGCCTGGGTAAATCCCTTCCATTGATCTGCAAACAGCAACCAAGGCTCAACTCTAAGAGGAGGGTGTACTCAGACCACACGAAGGGCACACTTTGACCACCCAGCTTGGGTGATGGGGAAGCTGTGCCACTGTTCCCTACAGGACACCTACTACATTAGGCCATGATACCAAGACAGAGAGTCACAGAAGCTCTACCTACTACATAGAAACAAACACAGGGAGGCTGCCAAAATAAGGAGACAAAGAAACATGGCCCAAATACAAGAAGAGATCAAAACTCCAGAAAAAGAGTCAAACGAAATGGAACTAAGCAATCTATCAAATGCAGAGTTCAAAACACTGGTTAGAAAGGTGCTCAAGAAACTTAGTGAGGACCTCACAGCATTAAAAAGACCCAGTCAGAAATGAAGGATACACTAATTGAAATAAAGAACAATACACAGGGAAATAACAGTAGAGTGGATGAAGTCAAGAATCAAACCAATGATCTGGAACATGAAGAAACAAAAAACCACCACGCAGCACAGAAAAAGAATCCAAGAAAATGAGAATAGTGTAAACAGCTTCTGAGACAACTTCTAAAGGTCCAACATTCATATCATAAGGGTGTCAGAACAAGAAGGAAAAAAAATCAAGAAACAGGAAGTCTATCTGAAAAACTAGTGAAAGAAAACTTCCCTAATTTGGTGAAGAAAATAGACATGTAAGTCCAGAAAGCACAGAGTCCCAAATACAATGGATGCAAAAAGGCCCACTCCAAGACACATCATAATTAAAATGCCAAAGGTTAGAGATAACGAGAGATTCTTAAAAGCATCAAGAGAAAAGAAGTTACTACATGGACGCCAGATATTGAAGGGGTAGGGAGAACAGGTGAAGAGGTGAGGGGATTAAGAAGTACAAATAGGTAGTTACAGAATAGCCATGGGAATATAAAGTATAGGAAACAGAGTAGCCAAAGAACTTATACGCATGGACATGAACAATGGTGGGGACATTGCCTGAGGGAGTAGGGGGTGCTGGGTAGAGGGGGGAAAGAAGGAAAACTCAGGACAACTGCAACAGCATAATCGATAAAATATAATTTTTTAAAAAAATAAATAAAATGCTCGGAATAGGCAAATCCAGAGACAGAAAGTAGATTAATGACTGCCAGGGACTGGAGGCAGAGAGGGTAAACGTTTTGAGATGATGAAATGTTCTAGAACTATACAGTGGTAAGTGGTTGTGTAATATTGTGAACATAACATCACCAATTGCAACTTTGGTTATGTTTATTTTACCATAATTTAAAAGAAAGACAAAAAATTTTAAGAAAATTCACTGCATTAAAGAAATGTTAAAGGAACAGGATGCCAGACAGAAACCTGGATCTACAAGAAGTAATGAACAAATGCAGGAAATGGTAAACATGAAGTAAACGTATACTCCTTCAAACATATCTAATAAATTATTAGAACTTACTCAGCCAGTTCAGCTCGAAAGCGCCAATTTCTGCTATTATCTGTCACCAAAAACTCCTGAAGTTGATAAAGATATTCTCTTCTTTTGTCAATATGAAGAAGCTGAAATAACAAAAAAGTTCACTAGGACAAGGTATGGACATTACTACTTTTACTAGATTGTGTAAAAATGACTATAAATAATATGGTTAATTCTTCTGAAGGAGAATACATTTAGTAGGTACACTTAACTGTCTTAAAAATAGGCAATAGGTTACTTTTTCCTGAAATTTGATTTATCTTCTAGAGTCATTATCCTCTTTTCAAAGATGTTTCTTGAACAAGCGAGTGACCTCCACTGATCTACAGTACCTCAGCATGGCTTTACAGTAGCACTCATTTGTTTTATTCATATGACACCCTCATTGCAAACTCTTTCAAGAGAGAAACTACACTCTCATTCATATATAGACAAGCCCAGCAGGTGGCACTATGATGGCACATAACAGGTCCTCAATAAATACTGGGTGGGTGCAAAAGTAGTTTTACAGTTGTTCATAGGGAAAATAACACAATAATTAATAAATAATAATACAAGAATAGACTTTTATGTACTTACAACTGTAAATCTACTTTTGCCCCCCACCCCAATAATTACTCTACAAATATTTAAAAGTTTTATAGTCAACACGGGGGAAACCTAAAAGGTGATATAAACAGAAGTAAATAAGCATAACTATAAATCAAATAAATAAGAATCACACAGGAAAAAAATGTCTAAGTTTGAACTTCGTACTCTGACTATACGTCTTAATGGGACATGTTCTAAGGATAGAACATGCTGAAGGAAATTTTGAATATTAGTTGATTTGCTGTTGCAATTATTATTGATGAAGTTAATTCTGAAACTATTTCATGTATGTAGGAGAATCAAATGACTAAATGTATTAATGCTGCTAAAAAAAGAAAAACAAAGTGAAGAAAGGTATTGGATTGGAAGTAGAGATAACAATCTGAAGATAACAGTATGACAAAAGTAAAATATTAAAAAAAAACAAAACCCCAGAACAAAAAGCTTCTCCTAGCTCTTGTCCTCTGAAAAGGCCTAAAAGAAATGACACTCCAGGAGCAACGTGCACATCTAGTGCCTGGATCTTGACTTCTAAACACCACTCTCTACTAAAAAAGACGAGGGCTCTAAGACAAATAGCTGATTCCAGGCTGGAGCAGAAAAAGTAGGTATGCCTGACAGTAAAGATGTGTTTGAAAATGAGGAAAACAAAACATAACAAAACCCTGGAGGCAGCTTTAACGGGTTTCTATTAGCCAAATTTGATTCTCAAGACAAATGCAAAAATGGATTACATTACATTGAATAAAAAATTACAAAGCCACACTGATATTAAAAACATTATCTTAAAAGGGGGAGAAAGAAAAGTTATCTTTACCCAAGAAAGGCAATTAAAAAACTGTAGAAAGAATTGTAAAAATAGAAAATCAGTATTTTACAACCAATACAGTAACAACTGATTTATGCAAGAACTGCATCAGATGCATGACACCAAAGCACTGGGGGGGGGGGGGGAGTCTTGTGGGGGGGAAATGTTCAGGGTCTGAAAGCATCACCCCCATTAAGTTATTTACCATAAAGGAGAAAGGTCATTTTACAATGGAGGATGTGAGCTGAAACCACTGTAACAAAGTGAGTGGACTCAGCGTCACCGATAACTGTAGGAGATAACATCATGTTAGTCCTGATGCGATGCAGTCAGAAAACACCTGCCAACTTACATAAATAGGTACTATTCCCGCAAAGAAACCTGTGTTTAGCCTGAATCTAATTGTGTAACAACACTCGGACAATTTCAAATTAAGTGTCATTCCGTAAAACAACTGTACCTCAAACCTCAGGACTACAAGACAGCCATAAGGAGAACAGACTGTTGGTTGCCAGAGGGGAAGGAGTTTGGCAACTGGGTGAAAAAAAATGAAGGGATTAAGAACTTCAAACTGGTAGTTACAAAACAGTCACTAGGATTTAAAAATACAGCATAGAGTACACAGTCAATACTACTGTAATAACTATGTATGGCAGTCATTATCAACCATTTTCATCTCATGACACACATTAACTAATTACTAAAATTCTGTAGCATACCAAGAAAATATTATTTGCCCATCTGACAAAAAAATTTGAGTATAGTTTTGATTTATTCATACCAGTTGGCTATTGTAGTGTTGGGTGTTGCCATTTTTTTATTTGACAATCTAAGAGAAAAGAGATCAGTGGCCCTGACCAAACAGTCAGATACTGCATGTTTTAAAAATTCTTTTGGCACACAAGTTGAAAATTGCTGATGTATGGTGCCAGGTGGTACTGAAAACATTGGGGGAACACTTCAGAAAGTACTTCTTTATCTAACCACTAGGCTGTACACCTCAAACTAATACAATATTATATTGAATATAAACTGTAATTGAAAATTAAAATAAAAAGGAACTGCGAGAGTGCCAATTTCAAGGCTAAACAATAGCATTCCAGGATTAAGCAATTTATAAAGTCAGGACTGTTCACCTTGGACACCAAAAATCCCACATCAAAGGAGTGACGACCAACGTTTACTAAATTCTCAGACTTCTGAAACACCACATAGAGCCTCTAAAATTAATGTTAATGAAAATCTTTTACAATAATTCAATAATTTTGAAAAAGTACAAATATTTATAGGCATATTCTAACATCATTTAAAATAAAATTTAGCCCTGGCTGGTGTGGCGCAGTTGGCTGAAGCATCATCCTGTAAATAGAAAGGTCATGGGTTTGATTCCCAGTTAGGGCACATTCCTGGGTTGCAGGTTTGGTCCCTGGTCAGGGAGTGTACAAGAGGCAACCAATCGATGTTTGTCTCTCACATGGATGTTTCTTACCTTCTCTTTCTCCCTGACTTCCTCTCTCTCTAAAAGCAATGAAGAAATGTCCTCAGGTGAGGACAAAAAAAATAAAAATAAAAAAAAATTTAGCATGAATATTTTTAAAATTAAAATGACACCAACAAAACTGATCAGAATAGGAACATTTTTTTTAAGTCACAGCTCATCATCAACTTATGGATACATTTCTTTCCTTTAAAAAAAAAAAGACTTTATTTATTTACTTACTTACTTATTTATTTAGAGAGAGGGGAAGGAAGGGAGAGAAACAGTGATGTGAGAAACATTGATCAGTTGCCTCTGGTACACACCCCAACCGGTGAACAAACCCACAACCAAGGCATGTGCCCTAACTAGAAATCGCTTTGCAAGATGATGCCTGACCAGCTTATATAGAACATACAGAAACTGATCTTGGCAGAAGTAGAATATTAAAATTTTTGATCTACAGTGGAATTTTACTGTGTTTTTATGCAAAAGAGTTTAAAAATTACCTTTAAAAAATCATGCAAGTGTTTAAGGACACCTATCCTGACTTCATCGAGGTCTTTTAAAAAACCATTAAAAATTGGAACCAGATCTGCAGCCGTCAGCTGATCTCCAAGAATAACTGCAAGTTCATGGATGGAGAAGGCCAAAGTTCTTCGAACTTTCCACTGCAGAAATAAAAATAATTGCATTAGTAAGCTAAACACAAAGTACTTTAGCTTTTAAACAGCACAGTAAGTAGTTCCCCTTGACATGCAGTTTTGCTTTCTGAGGTCTCAGTTCCTCTGGTCTACTGTGGTCCTAAAATATTAAGTGGAAAATTCTAGAAATAAACAATGCCTAAGTTTTAAATTGAGTACCATTCTAAGTAGCATGATGAAATCTCACGTCATCCTGCTCTTATCCCACCTGGGACATGAAATCATCCTTCCCTTTATCAGCCTTCCCATGCTGTGCGCTCCCAGCCCATGAGTCACTTAGCAGTCATCTTGACTGTCATATTGATTATTGTGGTATTGCAGTGCTTGTGTTCAAGTAATCCTAATTTTACTTAATAATGGTACCAAAGCGCAAAAGGAGTGGTGCTGGCAATTTAGACATGCTAGAGTAAAAGTTACTGACTTAATAAGGACAAAAAAAAACAAAAACAAAAACAAAACAGCATGCTGAAGTTGCTAAGATCTATAGTAAGAATGAATCATAGCCTATCCATGAAATTGTGAAGAAGAGAGAAATTCATGCCAGTTTGCTAGCAGAAATCACATTCAAATAACTTTCATTAAAGTATAATGTTTTAATTGTTCTATTTTATAAAATTAGTTATTAATCTCTTACAGTGGTTAATTTATAAGTTAAACTTTCCTAGGAATGTATGCATAGGAAAAAACAGTGTTTTCAGGGTTTGGTACTAGCTATGTTTTTAGACATCCACTGCAGGTCTTGGAATGTAGCCCCCAAAATAAGGGGGGGCTACTGTATAAAATGGATGATTAATATCTGAATGTTATTAATCCAAAAAAATTAAACCAGAATAAAAATAATAATAAATACTAAATTTTAAGTACCTACTGTGTGTCAAAAACTGGCAGAAAAAATATTTACATCCCTGCACAATATGTATTATCTCCCTTTTATTTATGACGGAAAAAAAAGTTTGGAAATTACTAATGGCATAATTTTTTGTAATTTTCTGAGCAGTGGATGCCTGATTTACTGATGTCCTACACTGACCAAAGCCTGGCTAGTATCATCCTCTTGTTACTGTTTCCCTTCCTATGCTTGTACAGGCTACTCTGGATTAAAAAAAAAAACAAAACTAGTTCTTAAGGAATTGGCAGTTAAAAAAATACGAAAATAGAAAAATCCTTTGTGGACTGCCCTGGAAGAAGAACTCCTTTAAAGAAATGTCTTTTACCCTGGTCAGGTGGCTTAGTTAGCTGGAGCATAAATTCAGTCAGGATGTGCAGGGGAGGCAACCAACCAACTGATATTTCTGTCACAATAGTATTTCTCTCTTTCTCTCCGCCCCCCTCACCCCCACCGTATCCCTTCTTCTCTAAAGTCAATGAAACATCCTCACATATCCTTGGTAAAGGATTATAAAAAAATACCTTGCATTTACAGGAAACTTTAAAAATATCTTTTTCTTCATGTTACCTCAATTAGAATTTTTTACTGTTACTTAGTTTAAAACTTTACCTGCTGAGAAACTGTTTAGAGTAAAGGTTTTATCCTACCCCAAATATTAGAACCAGTTCTTGAAAAAAATTTTATATCCATGGTTGGCATATTAAACAGATGAAGGCAGGGATATTCTGATGGAGGAGGTAGGGATAGGAGGCCTGAAGCTTGCCCATCCAGAGCTTTCCTATTCACCAGAAGCCCACGGTACCTGCCCCACAAAGACTCTGAGAATTCCATGGGATAAGGATGGAAAAACACTAATAAAAAAGACAAAGCACTTTATGGAAATTGGGCCTTTCTAGAGAGAAAGTCAATAGTATATTCTTAAGCATTAATCTACACATAAACAAGCCTGATTCTACCACTGAAGATGTATGCAAACGTGGGATAATTCACCTTGCCCAGAGCCTGGTTTCCTAACTTCACAGGTCAGAGGATGAAGGTCAACTACAGCCTTTCAAGACAACTTTCAATTTTTAACTTGCTAAGTCAAAAGGACTGATTCCATAGAAACTTCATGGAAAATCATTCGTTTCTCAGTATAAATTACTGCTTTCTTAAAAACTGAGATTAATTTCACTGAAGGAATAGGTTTTGTGGAAGGCAGGCAAAATTCTGGTATAAGGAAATCATACCTAATGGCAGAGGAAATTAAGTCAACAAAGCCTAGGAAAAGAGCCACAAAAGTCACAGATAACCAGACAAATGACCGAGGTTCCATGTTTCCCATTTTATGCTCTTTCAAAGGGTGCGATGGTGTGTGGTACAGAGAAGAGCACACACCTTCGCCCACCTGCACAGAGACGCTCACAGTGCTCCAAAGTCAAAACTCAGCTGTGCCAATAATACTACAGTTCTGTGAAGGTTTTAAAATAATAGAAGTATTTATAACACTGTTTCTAGGGAGAAAACTAAATCCTGCATTCTTACTAATTAATTTTAGACAATAGCACATTTGTAAATTAGCAACTTAGACATGTCAACTGTGATCATTTTTAATATTTTAGATATAAAAGAAATCACCAAATTGTGGAACTTGGACTATGTGAAAAGATAATTCTTTGGTACTTGCTAGAACACAAACAGAAATTCTATTAGGTACTGAAAGGCAAAACACTCTGCCTTCTATATGTGCATTCTGTTAACTCCTTGGCTGCTTTACTCACCTGCATGTCTGATGCCAGAGTCTCGTATGTCTCTCTTAGGCAGTGCCAGTTTTGCCTGCCAAGTGTCAGGGCCACGCCTGGAAGGCTGTATGCACAGTGCTTAGCAATTTCAGTGTCCACTGTCTGTGCACGAGAGGGATCAGTCATAGATAAATACTGATCTAATAGAGCCTGAGGCACAACGTCCTATGATGAGAGAGACAGGTCAGTGATGCCATTTGAGCAGTTTAGTTATAAATTAGGTAAACTTATTTTAAATATATGAGTTTAACATAGCATCTGAAATAGTAGAGAAAACCCAATCTGAAATTTTTAGTTATCTAATAACTGAGAAGAAAAACATGCTGAGGAGAAATGAATAAATAAAAACCCTAAAAAAAAAAAAAGGACATTAAAACAGAAAGCAGCTTAAAAGACAATTAGAATTGATTTTGAACTTTTTTTAAAAATTTTTATTTATTTGTTTCTAGAGAGAGCGGAAGGAAGGGAGAAAGAGAGGGAGAGAAACATCAATGTGTGGTTGCCTCTGACATGCTCCCTACTGGGGACTTGGCCTGCAACCCAGGCATATGCTCTGACTGGGAGTTGAACCAGTGACCCTCTGGTAAGGAGGCCAGCACTCAGTCCACTGAGCCACACCAGCCAGGGCTGATTTTTTAAATTTCAAAGACACACTAAATTACAGCCATACCCTGGCCAGGTGGAGCACTATCCTATACACCAAAAGGCTGTGGGTTCAATCCCTGGTTGGGGTGTGTACAGGAGGCAACTGGCCAATGTTTCTCTTTTACATTGCTTTTTCACTCTCTCTCTCCCCTCTAAAATCAATGAACATATTCTTGGTGAGGTTTAAAAAAAAATATATGACCAGTACCTTTCAAAGTTAGCAAAGATTATAAAAGCTGATAAATCCTAGTGAATGTTGTTACAGATATTTTTGTGTGCTATTACCAACATGTATTAAAAAAAAAATACCGCCTGCCTTCAGATGGAAACTTAGCAATTATCTATAAAAATTTAAAGTGTAGGTATACTTAACCATCTGTATAAATGTGACAAAAAGAATGTGTATACAATCTTGGTTATGTATCTATAAAATGGCTTTGGAAGACTATACAAAAGAAAGGTGAAATTGGTTGCCTTTGGGGGAAGCGAAAGGTGAAATTGGTTGCTTCAGGAGAAACACTGAGAAGGAAAATCACTGAATGCCTTTGTACCTTTTGAACTTTGAACAATGTAAACTTATTACCTACTTTTAAAAAATAAATTAAAAAGGAAATAAACTCACTAAAAGAATGAGACAATCAGTACATACTGACTTGAAACTATGTCTCCAATATAAGTGGTAAAAGCATATTTTTAAAAATTATGAACATTTTTAAAAGACTGTAATTCCATTTTTAATAAACAAAAGGAATGAAAATAAAGAGCATATACCATCTGACCTAGGAAACCCACTCATAATAAGAGATAGACCCAGAAGCAAATAACATGCATAATCACAATGAATGTTAACACTGCTTGTAACATGACAACAAAACTAAACCCGGAAGCATGTAAAAAACCATTGGAGTTACACACCTTATAATGGAGTATGATACCAGACCATGAGGTTGTCGTGTTGCTGTTGGGGGAGGGAGCGCTTATGGGCTCATATGGAAAGATCTCCCAGGCAGTGCACAAGCTATCATGTCGTGACGATTCCTTAAGCATATTTTCCTATACTTAAAATCTCTAAAATCGGAGTGCAACTTGTCGCTGATGGCACTTTATTAAGCCTTTTTTTTTTTTTTTGTATTTTCATCTCTAAAATCAAGCTATATCTTATTGTAGAATTCTTGGCAACTTAGGCATGATAAAATACCTTGGCATAATGGTATGATTGTATTTGTCTTTGAAAAACAAAAAGGGGTGCATATATACCTACAATACACTTTATATACCCACAATAAATTTTATATATCACAATAAATTTATGAAGAAATACAGAAGAAACTATGATCCATGGTTACTCTGAAGAATGGGATAACAGGTGTGAGAAGAGGAAGACTTTTGCTTATACTTCATTCTATATCTTATTTTCCTTATTCAAAACATGATATACTAGTCTTAATTTTTAAAACACTCATTACAAAAAGAATAAAATTCAGTGAGAAACTGCCTTAAAATTGGAATTAACAACAGCGACACCAAATAAAGGTGTTCTGGTCACTCACCTGTACTTTAGATCTCCTTTCCTCATCAGGGCTAAAACTACTACTCGTGCTCAAGTCCGAATCATTATGAATATAACGAAGGGTGGACTCCATATTCTGTTAGGAAAAAACATTTACTTAAAAAATTGAACTGTCTAACAAGTTTCCTTCATTTAAACTATCTTACTAAGGTACTTACCTTTCAAGACTGCCAAAAATATAAATACATATAAATTCTTTGTGCTTTTAAAAGTTTATAAATATACATAAGGACTCATAAGAACTTCCCTTGCCTTAAATTCAACTTGCTGAATAGGATGCCATATGAATAAAAAAGAATTTCAGAATAAAAATAAATAAAAATTTGGAAGTAATTTTGAAATGGCCCAAATATCTAAAATTAGCTTATTTACAAAATACTACACAGAAAGGGTGCTTTCGGTCTACTCTTTTAAAAGCCTTGGAATGTCATATGTAGTTATTCTTCTACTGTTGCTAGTCTTGGCTATTCCTCATTTCACAAATATACTTATTTAACAGTAAAAAAAAAAATCCCAAAATAAAACAAAATACCTTCCAAAATACAGAGATATCATAGTATTCAAATCTCCAATAATAATTAGCGGTCAGATTTTCATTCTGAACCACCAGTATTATACAAAATTTCTAATATACTAGATGTCTCCAGCAAAAAAAACCCAAAACAAACAGAAATCCATTTAAGGTCTAAAAACCCTCTTGCCACCCCATTATATGCATGTAGGCACTCTTTCCTGAGCTTTTCAGTCATGCTACTCTCATCTGTGACCATAAGAGTCTATAATTCAGTGGTGTGTTCCTTCTCCCTGTTTATAAAAACAAGGGATCCGAAATGCTGGTAACAAATTATGCTGGCTTGGTGGAATGCGGTAGAAAATTAAGGAAGAATGATACAGAACAGCTCCAAGTATACAGTGAAGATGATGCTAGTAACAGTACCCACCCTCACACTCCAGAGTCCAGATAATGCCACTGGCCCTCCGCAACATGGCCTCAAGTCCCGATCTTCTGCTCAGAATACTGTGTTGCTTGCTGCAGTGAAATGGTCCGATCAGAAACAAAGCACCTCTCCAAAAAGAAAAGGAAAAAGTTAATTATTCTTGATAAAGGGCTTTGTTTCCAGTAAGACTATTTCACTGCAGTGAGCTACATTAACATTGAGGCTACTAACTAAAATGGTCATGTAGACAGGATTAGGATTTACTTTTCGAAGCACTGAACATAATACTAATGTCACAAAGATAAGATGTGGTGACAATTACTTTTACTTTACACAAAAGGAAGAGCTGAGAAAATCAGCAGCAAACAGAATGTACTAACTAGAAAGTAATTAGCTACAATTAATCCCCAATGAAACACTTCTGTTTCAAACTGTTCTCACTAGAAAAACACTTTACTGAGTTTGTTACCTCAACAGCATCGCTGATTAAAGGCACGGAGGCATCATGATTTATTTTACAGTTTGGTAGCTCACTGACGCCCAGGTCATCTTGCACATCACTTTTCTTCTCTGCATCACTGACCTCTTCACGAGCATCCAGACTGGAAGCGCGCAGTGCGGCAGACAGCACGTCCACTTGTGCTATAGGTAGAACAGGGAAAGGATGATAAGTGGCAGAATAACAATGTGCTTGCAAGTTTCTTCTTCATTAGCATTATATATTATCAATGAAATGTATACTTTTGACACTGCCACCAAAAAGCTGGAAAAAAAACTCTACCATAGTAAATCATTAGTCCTCCAAGAGAAAAAAAGTAGAAAACTAATATGCTTTCATGAGATTAAAAATGTTTATACACTACTGTACATTATTCTGCGTTAGTATGAAAAGAGAAATGCTATCTAGTTGTGGAGGTACCTCCAGTTTATTAAAAGAAGTCAATTTCAGTGTGAGTTAACTATGTTTTGGTAGTGCATGAATTGAACTTATAAGACTTACTTACTAATCTACTTTAGCAGAAGAGCAGTCACTTTACAAACCCTGCCAACATAAAACAATTTTAATTACAAAGATTTTTGTTGCAGTTAACATTTAAATATCTAGTATCTTATTCCAGTTTATTTTATCTTTCTAATTCTTTTTGCAAATGAAATCAGTGACTTGTCTCCAACACAGGGATCCCAAACGAGCACTGTGCTGCTTGCAGCAAACCAAACAGGCAAATTACCAAGTTCTTATTTCTGACGAGTAGCACTATCTATGCTTTGAGTTACACCTCTTTATAAAGGTGACTCAGAACTGAGATAAACCATTCTTCCTTCCCCACAAATGAGAAACTTAACAAAAAATACTGCTTAGCATTACTTCAAATAACAATCCACCTGGATACTCAAAAATAAAATTTTAACTTCGAATTTATTTAGAACAAAGACTAGAAAGTGTGCCCGTAAAGCAGAGTACCCATTTAATTAAGATAGACTACTATTATACTGACACATTTATAAAACTCCAGTCTAAGTATAATGGGGTACATCTGGCAATGGGGATACAGGAAACATACAGGACGAGGTTCTAGGTTATTATTAGGTCATTGTTTGCTAAATTAAGTACGCAAATTGAAGGTGTTTAATCATGAATTTACTCATGAAAAATATACTCATTCTTTTGAGAATTTCAGCTGCATTGTGTTCTAATCCTTTTAATCACTTTAGCTCCACTTTTTGGACTCTTCTAAATTTCCGAAATGAAAGCAGAATAGTGCTAAAGTACACTGTACAATACTTCAAGGTTAAACATGTTCTGTCCCATATAAAACATCCCCCCAATCCCCCCCATCATCTTGATTGTGTTCCCTAGGAAGTAACTAATAAATCACAGTCTTTCACAGAAAATGCCTTATACAGATCATTTAACTCTAAATGAACTACATACTTCTCTTTGTCTGTGTTAAGCTTCATCTTTAGGTTTGTACATTCATAAAAGCTTAAATGAGTAGCACTTTGAAGTTAGTTTCTTCAAAAAACTGATAGATATAAAGACCACAAAGATTCAGACTAATGCTGATTCCTCAGGAAACATGATGCTTACATCTCCATCAGAGAATGAGGTGGACTCTAATACTTGGCTAAGGCTGAAATTTTACGAGGATATACCAACACAACAAATTTAAAAAAACAAAACACTTGGATCCTTATCAAGATTTTGATTGTCTTACATTTTAGACTGAAATCCCAGGAACCAGAGCTCATTTAACTAAGGATTTGTGAAAAAAACAGTCTGTAGTAATTTGTGCTCAGAAATAGGGACCACCTTGAAACCTTTGAGTGTTACCCTTCCCTGAAGCAGTGCAGTGGAGTGAGACCTTTATCTTCTCTAACTCTTCCACAAACTCTATCGGTGGTTAGTCATAAATTCCTAACAATTTATTGATTTCAATCAGTGAACAATATGTTTTCCTGACCATGATTGTCAGAAGGGTCCAATTCTTCCACTGAGCCTAAATTGGAAAGAAACCTGTATTTCGTGAGCTTGGGCCATTTTCCCTTTTGTAGTCAGTCCAGGAACCTAGTTGTGGTAAATCAAGTTGGCATCGATCATCCTACTCAGGCACCACTCAAACTCAGCCCTGACTCACCCTGGCAATTCCAAATGCCAGGGATTTGAAACTGCCCTGGACAAAGATAGAAAAACGTCATATTCCTGAAGTAAGTACTTTCCAAAAGAGGACCTCTTTACACACTCTTCATATTTTACCACTTCCCGTTTTGGCCTTTCATGTAGTATCTATTTGTCTTATAACTCAGAAAGGGCTTTCTTTTTCTGAAAAGGAGAATCGCATTATAGTCTGGGAAAGAACTTAAATTTTTTGGCCAAAAACTCACAAAGGAAAAAAAAAAGTCAATGCTTCAAGGAAGGTAAGGATTAAACTGTGAAACAAAGTCTGACTTAAAATAAAAAAACAAACAAACCCTAAGTCTTGCTTTCTTCCCATGACATGTGCCACCCAACAGGGATGAGGGAAAGAACAAGTGGTCCCGGGGCCTGTAAAAGCGAAAGTCCTCCTTGGAAGGGTTTCTCTGGGCAGCACCTCCTCAGGTCTTACTGTCCAACTGCCAACAAAGGAAATTTACACTTGCAACATAAATAGTTTGGTTCCTGGTCAGAAGTTAGTTTCTAATTTTAGCTTAAAGTTTTGCCTTTCAAAAATGTAGACATCTCCTGACAATTTGAAGAAAATGACAGCCCATGATCACAGATTAGAAAAGAAAAAGCACCTAAAACTAAGGTATATCCCTTTAAAAACTCAAAACACCTTCAAACACTGTAGAAAATTAAGGCATAGTAAATTTTGGATTAGCTATGAAATTAACATGGATTAAACATGCATGTTGATTTTAATAAAATCAAATGCTTAAGAATGCTGTAGCCTAAGTAGAAAACCCCCAACACTGCCCAGCTATGTTTTACTGTAGAACACTTGACACACAGGCAGTTAATGGACCGTCTCACCCTTCTGTGCTCTCTGAGGCTGAGATTTTTGTCTGGTTTGTTGCTGCTATGCATATATTTAAGTAAACACAGGAGAGTATCATACACACAGAGGTGCTCAGTAAGTAACACTCAACCAATCAATCAATGGATACGTTATAAAAGTTTATCATCCTAATGGACAGAAAGAACATGACAAATTAAAAACATAGCGGGTTTATGAGGTAAATTAGAAAGAGAAGTAATTAAATCACAATACAGTATTTGTGTTGAACTCTCCCAAATGCAGCTTACAATTTTAAAATACAATTTTAAGTCAAACATGGTAATTATTAGCCATCTTCTGAAAATGCAAAGTCACATACTGAAACTTATATGTACATGTAGATCTTTTTATTATTTTTTTATCCTCACTGGAGGACATTTGAAAGAGGAACGGAGAAAGGGTTTACAGAGAAGCGGGGAGGAGGAAAGAGGGAAAGAAACACTGATGTGAGAAATATCAATTGGCTGCCTTTTGTACATGACCCAATGGGGAGCAAACCCACAATCTAGTCATGTGCCCTGACCGGGAATCAAACCCATGAACTTTTAGGTCTGCATATGATGCCCAACCAACTGAACCATATCAGCCAAGGCTGTAGGTCTTTTTAAAAAGCAAACAATGCATACCACTTTTAGCTTATTTGTTTAAAAAAAAATTAAAGTAGCTAGTCAATATTTCAGTATTTTTAAGTACCTACTGTGTGTCAAAAAACTAAAAGGTACTGTAATATAGTGAAAACTCCCAGAACAGGTTTAAAGCCTTTTTCCATAAAACTGGAGTGTAAGAAAAACAAAGCATGAAAGTTACAGAAGTTTGATCAACTGAATAAAAGAAGTTTATAAATAATAAGACTTATTTAAACAAAAAGCTGAAAGTTGTAAAGACATAAACTTATCAAGAATTGACTATCCTCACCCTGACTGGTGTGGTTCAGTGGGTTGGGTGTCGTCCCACAAACCAAAAGGTCACCAGTTTGATTCCCAGTCAGGGCACATGCCTGGGATGCAGGCCAGGTTCCCAGTTCGGGGCGTGCAAGAGGCAATCCACTGACGCTTCTCTAGCACGCTGATATTTCTCTCCCTCTTTTTCTCCCTCCCCTCCCTTCTCTCTGAAAATAAATGAACAGAATCTTGGGGGGAAAAAAAAGAACTGACTATCCTTACCTATGAAAATTTTTAGTTTTAGGTGTAATTCTGTCTCTCAATTCTCCTCACCTGGGGACGACAGAGAGTGGAAGATGGAGGGAGAATACAAAGGCAAGATTCTGATGAATATTCTAATTTGTCAAACAAAACAAAAACTTCAGTACTTGCTACATCAAGTTGTCATAAAATGAAGAATGCTGGTTCAATGGAGTAGGAAATCAATAAATGACAGAAGTCACAACTAAAGGAAAAAACAAAAAAAGTGAGGCTCTAAGGTTTTCATAAAAACAAAAAAAGTGAGGCTCTAAGGTTTTCATAAAAATTAATCTACCATGAACCTTGGTCAGTGCGGCTCATCTGGCTGGAATGCCATTGGAACCCAAAGGATTGCTGGTGTGCCTCCTGGTCAGGGCACATGCCTAGACTGAGGGTCTGTCCCAGTCGGGGCACATGCGAGAGGCAACGATCAATGTTTCTCTCCCTCCCTTCCCCTCTCTCTCTAAAATCAATAAGCATGTCCTCGGGTAAGAATTAAAAAAAGAAATCTCCCATGAGAGATAAGAAATAGGATACACTATTGAAAATATTCACTCCTCTGCTCTTGCCCTTGTTTCAGAATATAATAAAAAGGAATGAACTACTGATACATAAAACAAGGATAAATCTGAAATACATTGTGCTAAGTGACAGAAGTGAGATTCAAAAAGGTTTGTTGTCACTTGATTCTATACATGTGGCATTCCACAACAAGAGATCATAAGGACATATAACGGATCAGAGGTTGCTAGAAGCTGGGCATGGAAGAAAGGACAGATATAAAGGAAGACAAGGGAATGCTCTGGGGTGATGGAACTGTTCTGTATCTTGACTGTGGTGGTAGTTACACACAACTGTGTTTGCCAAGTCTCAGAGAACTGTCCATTCAAAAAGTTAAATTTTACTGATATAAATTATGTCCCAATAAATCTTTAAAAAATGAAACTTACCACCTGTCAGTTAAATTAACTTTCAACAATCAAGAATATGAAATTTGCCTTTAATCAAATAATTTTTCTCCAAATGTAAAATTATAATAGGAAATCTTTTAAAAATTATGATAAATTAAAGACAAAACGGCTAACTTAACCACCATTAACGCAATTTTCAAAGTCTGAACACAAGGTTTGGGATGTTTGAGAAGAATACTGAAGGCTATTTACTGCTTTATCTGATTTAAAAATTGGTATTTACTAACACTGAGCAAACCAATAGTTCATAAATTTTAGCTTTTAGAACAAGGCCAAACAAAAAAAAATTCCATAAAGGGATTTACGTTCTAAAGACTTCTACTTACAGGATTTGTCTAATTATTTTTGTTTTAAATAGCATTTCAGATTTCACTGAATAAAGTTATGAGAGTCATTAGGAAGATTTTAGTTTTCAAAGGAGCAGAAAGATAACATCTGCATCAGCTTCTGGCCCTGGGGACTGGGATCAGGCCCCAAACCCCAGCAAGAACACTGGGGACTGCTTCAGGGCATCTCACTTCCCACACACTTACAACACATATTCCACTTAGTAAAAGGCAACTTTTGATTTAAACACAGAACAACTTTCATTTGGGCTGTCATTCACAATGAAAGAATCTATGTGATACACATGTGTAACCCAATGGGAATAAGTCAGAACTGAAAAGTAATCTAACTCTCATAGACATCTACAGCTCTTAAAACACATTATACCCCATATGAAAATATGTATCTTTGTCTATTGTTAATAAACCATGGTCCTTTCTTGAAAAACACTGCATCTACTGCTGTTTAATACAAAAGCTAAAGAGAGCCAGAGCAAAACAGTTAAGGCATGACAAGATTAAAATTTTAAGTGTAAAACACTGTTTGAATGATTGTGAAAATTTCAGAGATTTGTAAATCAACAATCCTGTACATAGGATAGTTAGGAACGCAGTGATGAGCTTATCTGTCATAGTTCCTAAAAGTCATGTATCTATCAAGGCAAAGCATGTTGACAATGGTCAAATTTATATTTAATAAGGCAGTTTTTCTGGGGAAAAAAGGTCAGAAAGTAACATTTTACACCAACTTTTAGCATAAAGAACTTAACTGAATTTTCCATACCTCTAACATCTGGATCATCAATATGCGGCTCTAGATTTTCTATCATTTCTTCAAGTTCCTTTCTGGTGGCCATAGTCATGTTTGAAGAACCTGGTATGGTTATTTCGGGTGTTTCTTCTGGTCTCTCTGGGTTGAGTTTATTCCCAGAGCTCTGCTCAAGCTCTATATCTAGATCTATTTCAGGAAGAGGAGTCCTCCAGAAATGGAAGGAGTTGTATAATTCCTGATCTAAGAGAGCAGAATGTTGTGAATTGATGCCAACCTCTAGCCGTAATGTAGATTTGTAGTTACCAGATTCTTTATCATTCTCATTACTAGCTGCTTCCTGTTGACAGTCTGAGGACAAAGTACAAAGTAAAGAACTGTCCATTGGAACATTTATTTCACCTGGAGACTTCCTAGTAGTGTCGGCACAATCTTCCATAGTGTTTTCCAGACTGACACTGGAATTACTAATATAGGGATCTGAAGGAATATCTTCTGGCCTAATTTGTACATCCTCTGGGACTTCTTGATCTCTGATCCTTTTATTGTTTCATTTGGGGGAAAAAAATGAAAGTATAAAAATTACTGAAAAAAAATCAATGACAATACTACATAAAACATTTAGATAAACTAAATATTAAAAATTCCAAATTATCCATACATATTGAGTTTATGTAAATTATGAATAATGTTTCTTTTTCCATCAGTTGCTCTACATTCAGAGATGTAAATATCTGTTAAACCTAAGTCTAGATATTAAAACATTAGAAATTAGTTGGAGAAAATAACATTTAAAGATCCTGAGATTCTACAATACCATGGTAATTTCAATAATTTAATAAAAACTAAAAAATAGTAGAAAGATAAACTCCTATAATACATTTTAAGATAGACACATTTTTAAAGTTATCTGATTTTTAGGATTATGGTACTGCCACTCTGCTCCAATGACATGTTGAAAAGCTAAGAATTAAAACCTATTTGCTTACGTTAAAAAGAAAAAAACACAGCATCACAAAAGATCTTATTTACTATGTCACAAAATATGTAAGAATCCACTCAAGTGTCTTAAGTTATTTTTATTTCTTCCATCTCCTTTAGCTTTCCAGCTCTACTCCCAAAGGTTTTCCCAAAATAGAGTCATGACTTAATTGATAAGGACAGAAGGTACAGGTTCCTAAAGACCACTGATCACCGCCATCCATTACATAAATGTTTACCCCTACATTTTATTAGACTCACTTAATTTAACAAATATGTATTGAGCACCTACTAGGAACCAGGATATGGCTATTGAGGATTCACATGTGAGTATGAGTTATAGACGTGGCTCAGGAGATTACAATTAGAAACAAATAAAAAAAAAACTTATAAGCAATTAACTACTAGACAGAATGATAAATACAGAAGTATGCACGCTGAACATAGTAGAGACAAGAGCTGAAATTAAAAGGCTTTAGAGGAAAGGATATAAACTGTGTTTAGAAGAACCAGTAAGTGTTTATGATGCTAAGGAAAAGAAAATTTTCAGAAAGAGAAACAGCATATGCAAAGGCAAAGGGGACAGAGGAGGTCTAACATTCAGAAAACAGCAATGAGCTTACCATGGCCAAGAGAAGGAAATGATGGACAGCAAGAACGAAAAACTGCAGAAATCACTGCATTTCATACTAAATACCTCTGGAATTATCCTATGGGCTACAGGAAATAATACAAGAATAAAGAGACATACATTTTTAGATGTGTTATTTTTGAAAGACCATTCTAGAAGCAGTATAGAAAACTGGTTGGAGGTAAGACAAGAGGCAGGAAACACAGAAGAGCAGGTGAGAGACAGTGATGACTTTCTGAATGAAGGCAGTGTCTCTGGGACTACAGAAGTAAACACATTCATATGACGGCAAAATCAGTAAGATTTGTTCACGTACTGCATGCTTAGTAAAAAAAAGAGAGGAATCTGGGAAGATATCCAGATTTCTAGCTAGAACAACTATTTAGGTGCTGGTAGCACAAACTAAAAGTGAAAAATGTAAAAACAATTTAATGTGAAAGCTAATGAGTTCGTTTGGATAGGCTGAATTAGGTATCTATGTTGAAGGTGGTGCTGATGTCCATGGGAAACTGATCAGACACCAGACACAGATTTAGAGGTCGTCAGCTCAGAGGGACATGTGTAGGACTTATATGTGAGGCAAGAAATATAAATGAATAAAAACACAACAGTCACATAAAATAACAGAGTAAAGATATTTTCCTTGTATAAAAGAATGGCAAAGATGAGCATATTTTTAGGCTTCATGAAAAAGGATTATAAGAGATGAAGAAACTGGAGATACAGGAGACTGATGAAATAACCGATAAAGCAAAAAGAATATGGGCTGAAGAACACAGGTGAACATGTAAGACACATCTTTCTAAGACACATGAAGGAGAAGGAAGGGTGGATATGTAGGCAAATTTGTAAGGTGAGTGTGGGGGAAAAACTGAAGGTGCTCCCTTGAGCCCTGGCTAGTGTGGCTCAGTGGATACAGAACTGGCCTGTGAACCAAAAGATCACTGATTTGATTTCCGGTCAGGATAAATGCCTGGGTTGCGGGCCAGGTCCCCAGCTGGGGGTGTGCAAGAGGCAGCCAACTGATGTTTCACTCACACATTGATGTTTCTCTTCCTCTCTTTCTCCCTACCCCTTCTCCTCTCTCTAAAAAATAAAGGTGCTCCCTTGAACTATTATGTGCCTTTACATATACACAATAAGAGATACTAAACAGGAGGCCTACAAGGACTATGCAAAAACAGTAAGTGACGTTAACACCTAAGTAATATCCCATACATGTTAGTCACCATATACGAGATCTGTCCAGAAGGTATCCAGCTATGTAATATGAAAAAAGACACATTTATTGAAGAAGATAGAAGATGCAAGAAATATTGTACATAGCACGATGTCTCAGTCCCCTTCAAAGTAGGCACCTTGGGCCCTCACACAGTTCTTCCAATCACTATCAGCTGCCCCATCATATTTTCCTGAATCTCAACTATGATCTAAAATCTCTTCCCTTTCAAAGGTGATTTTAGGTTTGGTAAAAGTCAGAAGTTGCAGGGTGCCAAATCTGTGCTGTGGGGGGCTGAGTCACCTGGGTGATTTGATGTTTCACCAAAAAACTCCATGGGTGTGTTATCATGATGAAGCTGCCAATCACCAGTTGCCAATTGCTACGGCCTAGTGATTCATCCAAATAGTTTCCACGGAAAAATGTTCAAGCTTAACATAAAATCTGATGCAGATTCATTGCTCTACTGGCTCAGTCATTTTGAATGCGAGGGCCAGACAGTACACACACTCACTCAACGGTGTCTACTGCCCCCACTGACTAGTTCAGTGAAGTTGTCATTGTTCATGCATGTGCATTCCAGTCCACTCTCCTTGGCTGCCAAGTTATATCAACGTTGCACAAACCATTCTCATTATATTAACAATGGCTGGACTTTTTTCTGGACAGACCCTGTATGTGCTCATGAAATTATCAACTTTCCTCTGATTAGGCTAAATCTATTAGTAATGTTCACATTATTTTCAGAAACATTTTTAAAAAACATATTTTTAAAAAGTTTTTAAATACAGATAAAAATATTTATTAAGTCATCTGAAAACATACCACAGAGTGATAGCATTTTAAGTTCTGGAGTTGCCCTTCCATTCTTACAACTGTAAGATATATAGTATACACACATAATGAAATTGTTACAACTGTGAAAAGACTGAATTACAAGTTCTTGGATTCTTATCCCAGCATTGGCACTAGAGAAATATAAAACCCCAAGCCTTTTAGGGACTCAGATTTTCATATTTATTCCTTATTCATAAAAATGAGGAACTGTTCTAGATAACCTGTAAGATCCTTTCCCTCACCAAAATAGCCCTTGAAGCTAGTGTTATTATGCAAAACAGATTATCTTTATATGTGTATGAATTATATATTTTCCAATTATGTTGTTCTTATTAAAAGATCTTTTTTCTTTTGTTTTAAAGAACACTAGTGGAATAATTGGTAAAATCTGAATAAATTCTTTAGATTAGACAATACTGTACCTATGTTAACTTCTTAATTTTTGCTATTGGACTGTTTATATATTAATGTCTATGTTTTAAGGAAACAAATATTTAAAAAAATAAAATGAAAACCAAGTCTAAAACTTATTCTCAAAGTATTCAGAAAAGAAAACTAAAGCAAATATGGTAAATGTTGCCATTTGGAGAATCTGGGTAAAGGGTATATGGGATGCTTTGTGTTATTTTTATAGTTTTTCTGATATCATGCAAACTTAATTTTAAAAATTATAACAAGGAATTGTTTTGTGGGGGAGTGGAGCAAATGAGTAAAACTTGTTAAGACCTCATCTATTATCTGATGACTTTTACAAAGCTCCATGTAGACCATTCAGTATATATAACTATTCCAAGGGTCTGAAGTTCCCTGATCATTATATTCACGTTAGCATTCAGATTAAATTTTAATATTAAAATTAATTAAGAATATTAAATTTTGATATTCTTAGAAAAAATAATGGCCAAGTCATTCTATTTGACTAGTGTAAAATTACTATTTTGTTCAAACTTAAAACTCCTAGTACAATTTTAGAGACAAAAAAACAATCCCTAGTATTAAATTCTGGGAAGAATTATATATGTATGAATAACAGTTGCTTCAAACTGTCAAAAATACAAATTCTCTACATACTGATTTTTCCCCTAGAACTGGGCAATAAGTCAATGCAAACTCAAGCTGCTAAATGCCAAAATTATATTCTTAGTTGTGAGACTTCTAAATACCATCACAAACACTCATTGTTTTAAAAATTGAGGAGACATGATTCTGCATAGTGAGAATGATCTCCTAAGAGATTGTAGGCAACAAGAACACCAGAGGGTAAGCCAGACATTTCTCTCAAAAAACCCTTAAGTTTCCTGTAGTTTATAATTAGCTTATAGTTAACCTTCAGAGTTCCTAACTAGAGACTGTGGGCCAAGAAAATAAGTACTCATGCATGTATTTCAAGGAGAAAATAAGCTATAGAATATCTGCTTGAAAAAGCACTGTATCCTGAGATAAAAGCAAAGAATACTCTCTAAGATACATCCTTCAAGTACTGTGAATGAACTAAAGTTTTAACATCAGTGAAATACTTCTAAATTTGTACCAATAACAATTTTACTTTCACATAGTTGGCATTAAGCTAAATGAACAAAACCCAGCATAAGTGGCTCAGTAATTCAAGGCTTTTGAAATTAAATATTTCCTTATAATAATTCATTCAGGATTTATAATGTGCCAGGCCCAATGAAGGTGGTAATATACACAAAGATAAAACACTAGATTGCTACACTACATGGACTTGTAGATACACACAAGCACACAATTGAAAAGATACGATTAAAAATTAGAGTTCTCATTCCAGTCCTACTGACCGCCAAGATGCAAAAGCTTTGAATTTCCTGAAAAACGCAAGGGAAGACTCTTGGAGGTAGTGAGTCTAGAGACAGCAAATGCACTAACAGTGACTTTGTTAAATGGAAGAGCAGGGTTTCCCTAACGGAAAGCAGGGAGAATCAAAAGAATAATGTATTCAGAGAACAATATAATTGTTGGTTTGGCAAAATTTAGAAATGCAAATCTGAATGTTTAACTCTGCTTCTAGAAGTAAATTTATTAACACCTCCAAAGAACCATTAATAGTCTAATCTGGGGTAAGTGAAAGATAAATGTGGTCTATTAAAATAAGATGTTTATAATCAACAAATGCTTCAAAGTGTGTTAAGTGATATTAAATGTTTCCAGGATTAGATAAAACAATATATACTAAGTAAGTAGCAATGGAAATGTGTTGCCAAAACCTAGCTTACTTGGTAATATATTTGAGAAATCTGAATTCTAGGAAACTGAGAGGACCTTGAAAATATGAACCAAGTTCCCTATTTCTATCTACAGTAGCTGGTTCTTAGTAGGTGCTCAAGTAATTTTTGCTTAATCAACCTTAAATAGCAAAACAATAGTTTTAACGCAGCTTAAAACACAAGCCAGTGCAACATTTAAGAGAGGGCAAATTAATGGTTATAAGATTAATAATATATAGGATACCTCTTTTTGAAGCTAGGAAATAAAACTATACAAAAGCTTTTACAATGTTTAACACAACTCCTTCCTTCCCTCCCCTCCCCTATACCATTAACACAATTCAATAAAATCAAATAATATAGTGAAAACCCAGTGCTACAAATAGTATTGACTTGACATTAAGACGTACCTCATTACAATGGAAGAGAAATTGAGGTCTGTAGCTAAAAGATAACTACCTTTAAACAGCTCTTCCAATAATGTCCTATATCAACTGACAGTCAGCAAAACTACTAGGCCTGATAGTTACATCAACTATTTTTATCAGTCAAGTTTTATTGGAACAGAGTCAAGCCCATCTGTTTATATATTGTCTATGGCAGCTACACACTGCAAATGCAGAGTTGAGTAGTTGTGACAGAGACCAAAAACATAATTATTTGGCCTTTTACATAAAGTTCGCTTACCCTGTCCTATGCAATTCTCCGTAAATTTTTATTTTCACTTTACCTGACTAGCTCCAGGTTTAAAAATAAAGTTACATCATAGCCTTTGTATGATTAGATAGTGAAGATATGTTGACTTTAAAAATGAAAAACAGTTAATACCCCCCCACCCCCAGTCAGTATTTTTTGTCAAATTTCTTGGAGCAGCTGTTTTTCAAAAGAACTGACAGACTGTGCTTGCTAGGAAGGCAGGTTTAGAGTGATTTTTCTTCCTTTACAAAAAACAGTACCTCAGGTTTGTTTGGCTATTCAGCAGGACAGTAGGAGAACGGGCAAAAAGGTAAAACAAGGCAGCAGAGAAGAAAGGAAGAACTGCCAAATCAAAACACCAAGAAAGCAAATATCACAGTATCAAGACCTACAGAAGAAAATGTCCATTAGCATCATGACAAGGGAGGGACAAGACACTATGGTAACTCAAGCATTAAACTAGGGACTGTTTCAAAGAACAGGTATTCAATTATTTCAAGCGCACGCTCACAAAAGTTTGTGCTTACTTCCCATGCACTAAGTAAGGTCTGAATTGTTTTTTCCCTGAGTATATATTATAATGAATTTTAAAATCTAAAACTCAATTAAATTTTTTAAATGCAAAAAAATTTAAAAATAAAAATCAGAGTTGTCTTCTACGTTTCATTTTAAAACCTGTGGCTCTATTAGACTAAATATACTTAGTAAAACTGATATTCTAGTTAGTAAGTACACTACTTTGGTGCTAATCATTAAAATACTTTCCTCCTCAACTGAGATTACAATCATCATTCTGTAGCAGAGAATCCAAGATCCAAAATTAAATAACTGACTGGAGGGAAAAATAATAGTAAGACATGGACTATAAAATAAAACATATTCCTAAATTAGGTTTTAATTCTTAACAAACCAAACTCTTTAAATTGCATAATCATTACCTCGTATATTCTAAGTGTCAACAGATGATTTACTAGGTAAATAATTTATTAAGTAAACTTATTCTAAACTGTTATTGTATCTATCATTTTATTTTACAGTGTTCCATGTGCCTGGCATCAAGCTAAGTGTGTCTTGTGCATCTTCATCTATTCTTTTACTACACAACCAACCAAAACAATGTTTAACAAATGTATTTAAAATGGAGCTATAAAAATATTTACCAATTTGTATAACCAAGAAAAATAGTAAACTCTCCAAAAAGAACACATTATAAAATAGTGAAAATGAAAAAAAAAGTTTCCTAGCAGTAAAACTGGAATGCAAAGCTGTAAAAAATTATACCTATTTTTGTCTTCTACTGATGTATCTTCCGAACTTTTGCTTTCTTCTTTAAAATATTGGCCTGAGCTAGATGGATTAGCAAATGTGGATATGAAAGGTCCCAGAGACTGAAAAGCTGCTTGGCGAACCTAGGAAGAAAACGACAGTCATAAAACATAAAAATACAGAATTATTAATAATCTACTTTCCCTATACTGAATGAAGTATGTTTAAGATATTAATAACGTTTTTCTAAAAGAAACCCATATTCAAAACTGTAAATCATTCTTCAGCTAAAATTTAACGTCCTTTATAAACTATTTTTTTTACTTTCAATTGTTTTAATCCTGGTTTGAATATTTAAACCATGAAAGTATGAATATGAGGTCCTATAAAACATTTACAATGGAACAAAACTAAACAAAGTTCTGTTGTGGTCTCAGGAAGAAAACGATGTCAAACTGAACATATAAAGCAATAAAGTCCACAAAATGAGATAAATAAATTTAATATTTTCAGGTAAGAAAGACTAATTTATTCACTACAAGGAAGCAAGACAGATGTATGAGAACTACATACACACACACTCATCAGAAATGTTATAGTGACTTAAACTATATTTCAAAAAAATCTGGAAGCATATGTTACTGTTATCAATGAATGTCTCAAGTAGGAGAGCTGAGAAGGTTACAGAATTTCACTTCATATTATGTTCCTGTATGTTTGTAATTAAGATTAAAAAGCACACTGAGAAAGAAGACATTTTATGAGAGGAAGTAGAAGGATGGACACAATTTAACAAAAGCAACTATGATGAGAAAAACTATAAACCAATTTAGATTATTACTTTTAGGCATAACAATACCTTTTCCAAGTTTTAAAACAAGGATTACATACTATGTATAAATTTTACAAAGGTAAATACATGTCAAGTACACCTATTATTGAAACCTGCTTGAAGAAGCAGTTACAAAATGATTCAACTTGATTTTTTAAAAAAGGCTAGAATTATATACATGATAGTAAAAAGAATAGTGTGTATGTGTTAACTTACAGATTTTCCCCCTTAATACTTCTGTAACAGCGTAACTTTTTAAATTATATGCATGTCTGAGCTTGTCTCAAATAGGCACAGGATTTACGTATATTTCAAGTGACTGAGATTTAAGGAATCCTTCATTTTAATGTAAACCTATTCCCAAATTAACAGGAAATGCTGGATGTTGCTCCACCAAAACTATGACAAGGTAGTTAAAACTTCAAAATGGAAACTTCAAATAAGCTAGTCTTTTCTATTAATTTTACACAAAACAGAAAAACATTAGAATAGTACTAAGGCTCAACAGCCAATTCCTTTATGTAGATTTTATTTTGAAAATGAGTATGTTGAGATCCTGAGATCAACTTCTTCACAACAGCTTAAGAGCTCCACTGACCCACACTCCCCACTGAAATGGGAAAAAAGCCCACTATTCAGCACCTCTGGAAAAGGTCCTAAGGGCAAAGAACAAATTAAGGAAGTCTAATCAAGAAAATCCACAAAAGTTCAGTGTCTGTGGTATCTGAACCAAGACCAGCTCAGGGAAGCAGAGCTTCCAGGCCAGAGTGCTGTAGCCAAGAACAGTGGGCTCCCTCTCCCCAAACTCCCAGCTAGAAGGCTTTCAGCATTTCTCCTCCTGCCTCAGCTCCCTGTTCCTGAGGCCAGGCCCTGGGAAAGTGAAGTGGACTGGTAGGGGCTCCTGTCTTCCACCAAAGGCCCATTAGTGGAATAGAGGCTCTACCTCAGATGTGACCCAGAATCCTGAGGCCCCAACAGCCCATGGCCCAGCTGGTGAGGCCAGGAGAGACAAGACAAGAGAGCTAAGGTGGTGAACCTCCTACTCCTACTAAAATGCTCTCACCCCAAGGGTGACTGTGGGCATACCCAAAGCTGTGCCTCCTGGAAGGGGGAGAAGTAAGAGTCCACTGAAGTATTCCACCTGTCACTCAACAAATAACAAGCGTCTGAGATGGGTACCAGTACCCAAATTTACTACAACATATTAGCTAAAATGTCCAGTTTCTAACAAAAAATTACAAGGCATGAAAAGGAACAGAAAAGTATGATCCAAACACTGGAAAAAAAATTAGGTAACAGAAACTGTGCAAGAGTAATAAGATGTTGAACTTAACAACAACAAACTTCTAAGCTGCCATCACAAATTGTTCGCAGAACTAAAGGAAAGTATGATTAAAGAAGCAAAGATATGAGGATACTTGCTATGAGGACAATCTCATAGCAAATAAAGAATATTAATAAAGACACAGAAATTAAAAGAGGGAACCAAATGGAAATTCTGGAGCTGAAAAGTACAATAACTAAAATAAAAAATTAGTAATTACACGAATTCAGTAACAGATCTGAACTGGCAGAAAAAAATTAATGAACACAAGGTATATAAAAATAACTTATACAAGACAAAAAATAGAAAAAAGAGAATATGAGGAAAAATAAACACAGCCTCAGAATAATGTGGGATACCACTTAAGCTCACCAACATACTGTATGTGTAATAGGAATATCAGAAGGAGGAGAGAGAGAAGGGAGAAGGCAAAGTATTTGGAAGAAAAAGACATTCTGGATAGACCTATATAACAAATGAAGAGATGAAGTTAGCAATAAAAAAGACTATCCCGACAAAGACAAGTCCAGGCCCAGATGAATTTACTCCTGCATTCTACTAAAGATTTAAGCGAGAATTACTACCAATTATTCAAAAATTCTCCCAAAACACAGAAGAGGAGGGAACACTTCCTGACTTGTTTTATGAAGCCATTATTATGCTGAGATCAAAGCCAAGCAAAAATAATAAAAAATTAAGCCATCAAAGAAAAACCACAGACCATTTACACACACACACACACACACACGCACACACACACACACGCACGCACGCATGCACGCACGCCCCCCTCTTAAAATACTAACAAAATCCATCAACAGATAAAGAATTATTAATACTATGACCAAGTGAGACATCCAAGAGATTGAAGGTTAGTTTAAAATCTGAAAATCAATATACTACATCATAGCAATGAACATGTTTTATATTTGAGCAGAAACTTTTTCCAGTTTAACAAAAACAGTTAATAGTTGTCTACTGTCTACTCCTAGAAGGATTAACAATAACATGCCTTAAATTATCAATTATTTCTTAAATTATGAAATCCAAATCATGTTTGTTGTAAAATGTATTAGTTTTATAAAAATGATAATTAAACAAAATCCTACCCAACGTGAAGGATCACTGATCAAATTAATAAATAGTGCTGATAATTTAGTCCGCCGGATTTCTTGACAGGTTGCACATGAAACCGCCATGAAGCATTCAGCACAAGCTTTCCGGACTCCCCAAACATTATCGGAACAAAGCTGGAAAAACCTGGGAAGCTATCCAAGGATAGTGTTTCATTAGACAGACAGAGTGAGATTCAGTACAGGCATACCTCATTTTACTGTGCTTTGCTTTACTGCGATGCACAGATATTGCATTTTTTTCCCAAATGAATGCTTGTGGCAACCCTGCATCAAGCAAGTCTATCGGCATGATTTTTCAATGGGCTCAGATTAGCATTTTTTAGTAATAAAGTATTTTTTCATTAAGAATGTACATTGCTTATTTTAGATATAATGTTAATGCACACTTAATAGACTACACTATAGTTTAAACATAGTACTGGGACACCAAAAAATATGTATGACTCTTTATTGTGCTAGTTACTTTATTGTGGTGGTCTGGAACCAAAATTTGCAGTATCTCTGAGGTAAGCATGTAGTTTTATTTCATTTTCTACTTTTACAATGTTTTGAAGTATTAAATTTCAAAAAAACTTAGAAGACCTGTTTAGTATTACCACTCAATAATTTTAAATAAATTAACCTAATTCACAATACTATTGGCTATAAAAAAGGAAAACACTCCAAACAAATACAGCTTAAATCTTATTATCCAAGAGCTTGTACCTAAACTTATTTGGCACAACAGATGGTTTTAGAAGCTCTTCAAGTATGTTAACTTGTACATTAAGCATATATATTCTATGAACTAACCATTTAAAAACCTGCTATGGGATTTGGTCGCTAAAAGACTTGAACATTGCTAATAAAAATTAATTTGAATAAATGAGAATTGATTTGTTTAATAAAAAATGAGAGGGGTAAAAACTATCAAAAACACAGTTTAGATTACAGAAATTTAAACTCCAACTCAAAAGGCCTATTATCTTTCTGGTTTACTTTCATTAAATTGTGTTAATAAAATCTGGGGGTAAATATATGCATAATAAATTTTATGTGCTATTTTGTAATACATTGCTTACTCCTTTACTACTCCTCTGTTTCTGTAATACTTACCAACATTTCCTCAGTAGCTTGCTGGCCAACTACACTGCAAATATCTCCAAAATTCGCAGCACAGACCTAACAACAAAAGCATTATTGAAATTTCAAAATACATTGCAGTGTTCCATTCTCAGTCAGAGCATATGCCTGGGTTGCAGGCCTGGTTTCCAGTTGGGGGCGTGCAAGAGGCAACTGGTCGATTTATGTCTCGCACATTGACATTTCTGTCTGTCTCCTTTTCCCTCCCTTCCCCTCTCTCTAAAAAGCAAATATATAAAATCTTTAAAAAAAGTTCACATATCAATACAGCAACCACTAGAAACATGTTCTTAAACAGATGAAAAAAACTGAATACCTTTCGAACGTGAAACATTCTGCAATCACAGCACATCTCACAAAACCTCGGGAGAATAAGACGCTCTGTAATGTCCTTCCCAACCATGGGAGCCATTTTGCACATTATCTAAAATGAGAACAAAAACACACTGAAGACTCTTCCAGTTATGTTTGCTCACTTATTAGAAGTATATTAACTTAAGGATACTAAAATATGACATGGCATCATTATATCACATACATTACGAAAAAAATAATCATTATCTGAGTTGAAGACAAAAAAACAGATATTAATACCACCAATAAAATCAACCAATAATTACTAAATGTATAATAAACAGAGAAAGTTCTTAAAATTTCACTTTTGCCTACAGTTCCAATCTTATTAATCATTTTACCTGATAACTTTAAAAACAAAATGCCATTTTCCGAGTAAAAAGATAAATGTTGACAGTTTAAAAGGAAAGATTATCCATAAAAAGGATATGGGTTTACCTGCATTGCTAAGAAAAGACTACAGAGGCAGTCCTCACCTTACAAAGTACTGTTTTAAATGGAACTTGTCTACATTGGAACCGCATCCTTACACTGTGCAAAACCTAGGTTCCAAGGAAGGCAAGGATACAGTTCCAACATGCACATGTTTCAGTTAACATAGTACTAGGCAAAAGGAGGATGAACTGTTTGAGAACCAGCCCAACGTTATTTAAATAAATTGCTCCAACAGTTGGTATTGAAAGAAATCCTCCACAATTGGTACAGGAAAAAAATCTGATAATCGGTCATCATTGATCTATTCCGGCTACTTCTGGCTGTGCAAATATGACAAGTAAAATGCATATAGATTAGAAAGAATATGGAGAAAAGGAAAGGAAGGGAAGGGGAAAGTCAAGGAACATACAGCAAGGACTCATGGACAAAACCAAAGGGGAAGAGTTGAGGGAGGGAGGGAGGGAGGGAGGGGGCAAGGGAAAGTGGTGGGGGGGAGGCAGAGACAAATGTATTTGAAAAAATAAAAAAAATTAAAAAAAAGAAAAGAAAGAATGCTCTACTCATATATGACTTGACTGTCTGCATAGAAAGTCCCAAGGAATCTACAAAAAAGCCACTAGAACAAATAAGTCTAGAAAGTTTAGGAAGTTTGCAAGACCTATGTCAGAATATACAAATCAAATGCATTTCTGTAAATTAGCAATAAACAAGTAGAAACATTTTAAAAGTTATTCATAACTGTGTTAAAAACATGAAATCTAACAGTACATACATGATGTCTAACTGAAAACTAGGAAACAAATTGATGAGATAAGAGACCTAAATAAATGGAGAGATCTACCTGCTCATGGATTGTCAAACTGGCAATTATTCCCTCATTGATCTATAGATTCAACACAATCTCTATCAAAATCCCAGCCTCCTCAGAACTCAGGGTAATACCCACATCTCCTAAACCCCAAAGTTAGTTTTATTTTTTGACTCTGTACAGTTTCTAAGAATTTTCAACCCCTAGATTAAAGATCCAAAGTCATACTGTATTACTGATATATCATAATTAAATTTATTAGAATAAATTATTCCCCAGATAGAGAACAACTGGGAAGCCAGGGAATGCAAAACATGACAAAATAAACATAAACCAATTTTAAGAAAATCACAGGTTTCATACTAATGCTGGATATAGTCTTTCTACTGCAATTATAATGATTTACTATTGTTAAATCCCATCAAAAATTGTAACAGAACAAGTTAAATTCTGCTCAATATAAACCAACAGTGATGCCAAAACTGATCTCCCTTAGTGAGGAACTTGTGAAGTTTAAAAAATAAAAACAATCTATGTTTTAGAATTTAGCAGTTCTAAATTCTAAACTAGGTTTATTAGGTTGTAAAGCATTGTGAAAATACTAAATGTTACTTTATACTTTAAATGGTTATTTTTATATTATGTGAATTTTGATAAAAATGATTATTACTGGAAAAAGTATCTAAACTTATTAATTGGTACCTGAGTACATAAAAATAAAATAATGAAATCAAGAAATTCCCAAGGAAATATACTAGAAAGATGACTAAACTCATCCTGCTAAATGATTCACAAGTACTAGAAAATTTTGGCTTGATTTTTTTCATTTCAACAAAGATGCAATTATATTATTTTATGTTGAAATAGTAAACTCTCAGTATCCAAAAAGATTTGAATAAATTTTCAGATGGCTTTATCAGTTTTCTAATTTATTATGAGAATTCTTACCACCTGAACTCAGGAAATATAGATGAGAACTGCAACAGATACTACTTTATATTCTAATTCATGCCTTATTTTTGATGGCTCTCTATAAAAATATTTGCTAACTATTTAAAAAAACACTAGAAATCTTACTACTTTACTTGACTTTATCATGTGCATAATGAATTAATCTCTATATTGGTAATAATCATAATTTATATCATATATCACATCATAGTAAAATTACTTGTCTGACTATCCTTTCCCCAAAGACCATACTGTGAAGGGCAGGAGCCAAGTATTACTATTTTTTTCCTACTGTGTTTACACAATGCCTAGAAAAGTCTTTGATAGTAATTAAAGGGTTTCAAATGTTTCTTCATTCAATACAGTTCTTTTTACCTGTGCTGTTTATTTCCCCCATCTTATTTTTTCCACTTTGACATAACAGTAAGTTTATAGTTACTTATTCTCTTGCTGTATATCTTGGTTTTCAGAGCTCAGGGATGGAGTCATCTAATTTCCAGTCATTTGGTACAATAGAAGACCCACAGAATATATGACTTTTCCCTTGTAAGCCAATGCTCCTTTCTAGCCAGTCATCTATTTCAAATTCAAAAATTTGTGGCTACTCTGAAATCTAATAAACCCTGCAGAACATAATGTAGCACAATATTTATTGAGTACCTCTTATTAGTCAATATAGTGACTAATTTTTACCTAAAATGAAAAATCACATTCTACTTACAGCCACAGCTTCGGTTTTTACATCGTCATTGCTATCTGGGGCAGTTAGCTCTATGAGGACTGGGCACACTTTGGTCTCCACATCAAATCGCTCAATTAACTCTTGCTCCAACAGAGCCAGCAAAGCTGCCTGACTTGTTTTTCTTACCTGGGAAAAAATTAGCAGTATAAACAAAGTACATATACAATATAGCAAAACTCCATTACTTGACTTTCATAACAATGAAGACTTCTCATCTCAACTGGTAAAACCATGCAAATAAAAATCTGTGGCTATTTTCTTCAAGTATTGCAAAGACAGAACATGCTAGATTGTGGTATAACAGAAGAATAGCAAAGAAACCATCTTGTAAAAAACTTTTTGAGGGACATCTGAGGGAGCCAGGTGAGGATGCAGCTACGAGGCACTGTCTATGATGGCATTAAGGAGACCTCCTAGATTTGCCAAACTCTCAACACATCTTGTCTAAGACAAATGGGCTTTTGAAAAACAGAATAACAATGTCAAGAAAAAACATTCAAATGGGACCACCTGGGGTAGGCATTCTACATACATCATACTACATAAATTTCCATTAAGAACATGTACATGGCACTCTTACCTGATTATTCTGATCTGCGAGATATCTAACCACAATAGGTAGTAAGTATTTGGAAAAAGCATATGGGATTGAAGGCCGGTTTTCTTGACAAAACAATGCAATATGAGGCACCTGTTCCATCAGCTCTGCTCTCACAGTTGGTTCTATTGAAATAACAGAAATGTAAGCAAACATTCTCCACAACAGCAAAATCTTCGCCTGGCCTTGAGACTACTTAAGACTTTCATCCTCAGTGTAAAAAGGGCTTACAAAATGTGCTCTAACTCTGCAATCCTTTTCACAATCATACATAGGTTGACTCTGTGGTTTAGAGGACCTTAACCCCATCCCAAGCTTGTATCTTCATAGTATACACTTAATATGAAATCATTTCCTATAATGACTAAACGAATGACTTCATCGCCTACAATGTTCCACACTATGATAGAGATTAAATATCCAAGTCACATAAACTATAACATGGTGTTACCTATAAACTCTACTATTTAAAAACCCCTTAGGACAAGTCATAAAGGACTGGCTTCTAATCTAAGTTTAGTCAATGAATAGAGGATTTATAATTAGACTTAATTAAGATTAAAAAGGGTATGTAAATATTAAAGGAGAGCAACATATTTTTATTTTAAAACCTGAAAAGACCAAAGTATATGTGGCATATTTAAATGGGACAAATATAGCATTTTAAATCTCTAGGTTTCAAAAGGAACCTAAGTAATGGTACAAAAATCAGCTAGTTACATCAGGAAAAAAAGACAAGATTCCTATATTGCACACCACACATTAATATCAGGTGAATTAAGATTCCAAAAGTTTTTTTTTAAAAGATCGCCTAGAAGAAAGCATATGCACAATAAAGTATTAATAACTAAATACACAAAGAACCTATTGTTCAAATAAATAAAAGAAAACAAGGATACAAACAAGCAATTCAGAGAAGAAATGCCAAGTGACTGACATACATATAGATATGATGGCTTATCAATACAAGTCATTACATCAAACCTAATTAGAACTTTGGCACTTAGTACAGTTATTATTAAAGTTACCTTAGGTAAATATGCATGATGTGTCCCAGGGATAGCTGGAGAATGCCTCTCTCCTCTCCACTTTCCTCCCAAACAATTACAAACATAGAAGCACACAAGAAATTAACGTAAAATTACCTCTAGTTGCTAACCCTGAGCCTGGTAGACAACTCAAAACCACTTCAGGGACACTCCCATAATGAAGGCTGAACTAATATCAAATACCTAGAGATTAAATATCCAAGTCACATAAATTATAACATGGTGTTACCTATAAACTCTACTATTTAAAAACCCCTTTTTAAAGATGAGCTCACAATTCAAAACTATTAAAAAAAAAAGACAAAGAAATGATCCTTCAGCAACAAAGAAGGTTAAAACACAACAGAATTATAACACCAAGAGCTTCAGTTACTGTAAAAATCTATAGAATTTTAAACATTCCATTTTAAAGATATAATAGAAGAAAATATACTGAAAAGGAACATACTAATAGGGAAAGAAAAACAATAGGAAGTATAAACAAAGCTCTCAAAACTCCTGAAAATGAAAAATGGAGTTAATGGCAATGAAACAGTCAACAGTCAGATTCCAAGTTCGAATTTGGTAGCAGATATACTATACTGAGAGAAATGACCAAAATGTAGATGGGAGATAAAGGACTAGAACATAAGAACAGATAATAATTATGGAAAATAACATTTATATAACACAAGTTCTATATTCAGAGCCATATACAAAATATGTACTCAAACAAAAAATGAACTTAAAAAAAGGAGTTTGAGATGGAAGAGAGGCTATAATCAAAATGATAAAGGTTCAAAATTTCCCATCTGACAAAAAGATAAGAATCCCACAAATTCAAGAAGCAGGGCACAATGCTGAACAGAATAAAAATAAATCTATATCTAAACACATAACAGTGAAACTGAAGAAAGCGAAGGAAAATAAGTCTTAAAAGCAATCAGGAAAGAAACAAGATTCCCTACAAACACCGAATTAAACAACAGGTTTCTTATTAGTCAAACAGTACGATGAGTATGCAATAGTATTAAAACTGCCAACTTGTTTTTTGCACTTAGCTAAATGATCATTTAAGAGTAATGGTAATATTCAGGACTCCTTCCGTCAAGATGGCAGCACAGGTAAGCATGGCTTACTTCCTCGCACAACCACATCAAAATTACAACTAAAATATAGAACAACCAACACTCAGAATTGTCAGAAATCAAGTTGAATGGAAGTCTGACAACTACATAATTAAAGAAACCACCTCTATCCAGATTGCAAGAAGGGGCAGAGACACGCTGCTCCTACATCCACATGTGGCAGATAAAAATTCAGGAGGGAGTGAGGGGTTCCAGCCCCACACCAGGGCCCCCTCATCCAGGGGTTTCAGTGCCAGGAAGATTAAGTCCGCATAACCTCTGGCTGCAAAAACCAGCAGGAATTGAGTCAGTGGAAGAAATTTCTAGGGTCCCAAGGAGTTCCTCTTAAAGAACCCACACACAGGTTTACTTAGGCTCATTCCTTGTGAGCTCCAGCACCAAAGTAGCAGCTTGAAAGGCAGAAACTGACTTGTCTGGCATCAAGGCAAGAGGACAGCTTTCTTTCAGACAAGAAAGGCTGGCAGAGGCCATTGTCCCTTTTCTGAGCCCTCTCCCCACAGAGCCACAGAACCACAGAACTGGCAGGCTGGAGCAATAACTGAGACTCCATCAACCTGGCTATATACTGTTTGCCCTGACCAGGATATACCCTGAGACTCCCTGCCACCCAACTTACTGGTCCACCCAAACTGTTAACTGTGACTTTCCCATATGAATAGCTGGTTTTGGCTCAAGCTTCAAAACTCTGTAAATCCTTTCAAACAAGCAACAGCTGGCCTCAGTGAGCCCCCACCCCCTGTATCTCTTACTAAGTGGCCCCAGAACTAGCACTAGTAGTAGTCAGCCTAGATTCACAGCTTGGCTTCACCTGGGAATCTCAAAGCCCAGCATAAGTAGCAGCCATCTCAGATTGCTTTATAGCTCATGCAGGGTGGTCCCAGGCAAAACACAGTTTGGGGCTGACCTTGGCCTGCACCACCTGGGAAATCAGAGCCTGCACACCCTGTGGACAGCTACAGACCATGTCGGAGCACCGCCATCCTGCCCCTGCACAGCTGATCCTCCGCAAAGGGCAGAGGTTGGCCATCAGTGGTTACAGCCAGTCCTTGCCACTGAGTGTCCTGGGTAAATCCCATCCATTGACCTTCCAAAAGCAATCAAAGCTCAACTACAAGAGGAGGGTGTACCCAGCCCATACAAAGAGCACAACTTGAGTACCCAGCTTCAGTGATAGGGGATGCTGTGACACTCATCCCTACCGTATATCTTCTACATTAGGGCATGCTACCAAGGCATGGAGTCATAGCAGCTCTACCTAATACATAGAAACAAATGCAGGGAAGCTACCAAAATGAGGAGACAAAGAAACAGAGCCCAAATGAAAGAACAGATCAAAACTCCAGAAAAAGAGCTAAATGAAATAGAGATAAGCAATCTATCAGATGCAGAGTTCAAAGGACTGTTTAGAGAAGACCTCAGCAGCATAAAAAAGATCCAGTCAGAAATGAAGGATACACTAACTGAAATAAAGAGTAACTTACAGGGAAACAACACCAGGGTGGATGAAGCTGAGAATCAAATCAACAATTATAAATATAAGGATGCAAAAAAAAAAAGCCCAAAAAACAAACAAAAACAAAAACAAAAAAACCACCAATCAGAACAAAATGAAGAAAGAAGAATCCAAAACAAATGAGGATAATATAAGCAGCCTCTGGAACAACTTCAAGTGTTCCATCATTTGAATCATGGGTGTGCCAAAACGAGAAGAGAAAAAGCAAGAAATTGGAAATCTATTTGAAAAAATATGGAAACAAATCTTCCTTAATTTGGTGAATGAAATAGACATGCCAGTCTAGGAAGAACAAAGAGTCCCAAACATGATGCATGCAAAGAGGCCCCCACTCCAAGACACATCACAATTAAAAGGCCAAAGTTTAAAGATAAAGAGGGATCTTAAAAGCAGCAAGAGAAAAGCAGTTAGTTACCTACAGGGGAGTTCCCACAAAACTGTCAGCTGATTACTCAAAAGAAACTTTGCAGGCCAGAAGAGACTGGCAAGAAAAATTCAAAGTCATGAAAAGCCAGACCTACAGCAAGATTATACTACCCAGAAAAGCTATCGTTTAAAATCGAAGGGCAGATAAGAGCTTCCCACACAAGAAAAAACTAAAGGAGTTCATCATTACCAACCATTACTATATGAAATGTTAAAGGGACTTATTTGAGAAAAAGAAGATCAAAACTATGAATAAAATGGTAATAAATACATATTTATCAACAATTGAATAAAAAAAAACCAAACTAAGCAAACAAGACGAACAGAGGCAGAATCAAGGATACGGAAAGTACTTTGATGGTTGCCAGAATGGAAGTGGGTGTAGGGGAATGGGTCAAGAGGTGAGGGGATTAAGTAAGAAGTACAAATTAGTAGTTACAGAATAGCCACGGGGATGTAAAATACAGTATAGGAAATGGAGTAGACAAAGAACTTATACTCATGACCCATGGACATGAACAAGTGTGGGGACTGCCTGAGAGAACTTGGGGTGCTGGGTGGAATGGGGCAAAGGGAGAAAAATTGGGATAACTGTAATAGCATAATCAATAAAATATACTTTTTAAGAAAAGTAATGATGAAATAAAATCATTTTGAGACAAAAGAATATGTTCTTGTCAGACCCTCATTAATATGTCTTTTCAGAAAGAGGAAACTGAACCAGAAAGTAGTAAGATGAAAAATGTACTGATGAGGGGAAAAATGAGAAAATTTAGTAGTAAATCTAAACAAGCATTTACTATATAAAAATGTGAACACTAAGTTTAGGGGAATAATATATCACGATAGAAGTTGATAAAATAAGGAAGAACAAAGGTTTAAAGGTTCTAAGCTCCCCACTTTTTAAAGATGGATTATATGCATTAACTTTAAAGTTTTATATTTTTAATGTCTTTATCTTATTTGAACATCAAAACCAACCCAGCCTACCAAGCTGGAAACCTTAGGGTCAATTTCCTCTTTTCCTTCACTGGAGAGTGAAGGAAACTATCACAGTAGCTCTGAAATCCCTCCCTACCACGTTAACTTCTCTCAGACAACTCGTAACAGTGACTAGTTTCCCAACTAGTCGTCCTGTCACCCATTTTTTTTATATCAATTCAATCTATAGTGCTGCATTATTATTCTAAATTACAAGTAATGCACACTCTCTAACAGAGCATTGTATAAACCTTTACAATCTAGCCTTCAACTACCTCATTATATAACAGCCTCATTTTTCTAAGCTGTAGACTCAGTAAACTCACTGTGAACCAAATGGGCCAATATCTTGAATTCTTCATGTCTCTAAACTTATCTTTTACTCTCGTGAGTATGCTTTACCCTCTCTGTATCTACTCATCATTCTGTCAAATCCAACTCAGATGTCATTAACTTTATGAATCCAGCCCCTACGCTCCCCATTATAATTTATTGTTCATATATTGATTGCATCCATTAAACTGTTACTTTAACGACAGGAATCTGATTCATTTTAGTAACCACGCTAACATTTAATGTAAAACCTGGCATAGAGTATACACTGTTTTATGTTAACTGAGTGAATGGAAGTGTAAATGTCAGTAAAATATTTACCATAAACTCAACAACTTGAGAACCTTTTTAAAAAATATACACACATAAGTATTTGTAAAAACTAGCACTATGATTGATGAAAATACCATACTTGGCCACGTACAATGCACTGCTCTGTACAATGTGCACCCATGTTTTCAGCCCAAACTTTCAGGGAAAAAAATCTTAAGTTTTAATTTTTTAGTTCAATTTTTTATTTACATATAAAATTGATTATGGTATTCCAGGGTATTATTCTGCATACAGATATAGTTATTGTTTTTAGAGTTACAATTTTAATGCATAAGCATAAATAAAAGAATTGAAAACATTTACACAGGTACAGCATTAATACTACTCATGTATAATGCACGTTCTTATTTTTCCCTCAAAAATTTGGGGAAAAAAGTGCACATTATACAAGGTGAAATATGGGAAATACAAATTCCTCTTTAAATAATAACTATGTCTCTACTAAGAAAGGAGTAATCACAATGGGATGCAACACTGCCAAAAATTTAAGTAAAACTGTATCCACACCAAATCAAAAAATAAATTATAAGTACAAATTATAGTTGATGAGGCTCTCTCCTAAAACCAGAACAAGCTTATCCATGAGCAATTATGTAAACAGACTGTCACAATGAAAAAGGCTATCAGTAAGGTTACAAATACTTTTTCTACCTTAAAAGATAAGAAAAATTATTTAAGGCTTATGCCAAAAATAAAAAGATATTCCCGTAAAATGAACTTGCTAACCAAAAGATGAGCTCAACTAAAAATTAAAAGATTTGCTGACATGCCAAAAAGTTCATTAGAAATTGAAAGATAACATACTTTAATAAAATTTTTAAGAAAAAAATCTTTATTTTTGAAATTGTTTCTAAAGTCAAATATAAAACTCTGCTTAGAAATTAGTGTTAGGTTAAAATGGTACATTTTATGCATATTTTACCACAATAAAAATATTTTTAGAAAAAAATATAACTGTTTTAAGCCTCAAATCAAGTTTACTTCTTTGTTAAGCAGACCCTCCTGTTTTCACTTTGGAGACACCTTTAGTTTTACAAGGGGTGATTAACATTTTTTGCAAATGGGAAAGCATACAAAAGGAAAGCAATTTATATATGCCTAAAAATATTTAGAGCCCACACCATCCTTTGTAAATTATTCAAAATTATCTTTAAAGTTTTTATTAATCCTAAAATATTAACATACATGATGCAAGACAATGTTAAGATTGTTCTTTTTTAAAAAAATTTATTTAACAGAAAGGAAGAGGGAGATACAAAGAGAAACACCGACTTGTTCCACTTATTTATGCATTCACTGGTTGATTCTTTTTAAAAATATTTATTTATTTTTACAGAGAGGGGAAGAGAGGGAAAAAGTAAGGGAAATAAACACCTGTGTAAGAGAGAAACATCAATCAGTTGCCTCTCGCAGGTGCTCGGGCAGGGCAAACCCCCAAGCCAGGCATGTGCCCTGACCCAGAATAGAAATGGAGAGCTATTTTGCTTCACTGGATGACATTCAATCAATTGAGCCATGCTGGCCAGGGCAGATAACTGATTCTTGCATGTGCCCTGACCAGGAACCAAACCCAAATCCTTGGCACATCGAGATGATGCTCTAACCAACTGAGCTACCTAACCAAGGCTTGTTAAGATTTTGCTACTGAGAAAGTTTGAAAATTAAATCACATGGGCCTACTATAAAATGTTTGGATTTTAGTAATAGGTATTTATTTTCTTGTTACTAAGGGGTTAGGCAATGTACTTAGGAAATTTTTTTTTATAATTTCTTATCACAGTGAGTTTTTCATTAGTTTTAAAAACACAAATTTGGTAAAAGAAAACTTTCTCTGCATAAACATATACCTGAATCGTCAGCTAATCTGCTAATTCTTTCCAAAACAGCAATACAATCTCTTTCATCATCGCAGACTTCCCTCAATGTATCCAGCAAACTCCGGGCCACCATTTGTCTACACACACAAAAAATTATACAGTGTTTAGTGGCATCAATAGTTAATATTCATAATTTCAAAAGGCAGAATCTATATAGTTTTAAAGAAAATCTTTTCTTATATATTTAATAACATATATTAAAGCCTCTAATTTCCTAAGTGACAAATGCCAGTATGAATTTTATTTTAACAAGATGAAATTGAATGTTTACTAAAATATTTTGCATCTTTATCTAATTGATTTAACAAATTCCTAAGGTCAATGAAATTTTATTTCTGTAATTTTCAATTATAATAATGGGAAAATTTACTCATTCTTTATTATATAAAACATCTTTATATATTTTCACTAAATGAATGTTATATGTTTATATTCAAAAAATGTAAGCAAAGACTTTCAGATTTTCCAGAAAAGTCTGATATAGGTGGTATTGTGACTATAGGACAAACAATGCATTAGGAAGAGTGTTATCTCTTAGTCACTGGCACGTCACAGTCCCCGTGAACATCACCTGGCACACAGCAGGTATACAACAGCATTTATGAAAGCCTAAATATACTCCTCAGTAATCACTTTACACAATATCAAAATTATGTCTAACAGCAAAAAAGCAACTTTTTTTTTTTTTTCCCGAAAGCACAGAAAGAGTGCTATATAGTTAGTAGGATCAAGAAAAAAACAACTATAAAGGCTGTGACTATTATGAGAATTTTGGTGACTAAGAGTGCACATGTTAATAATACCTACTTTAAATTGGGTAATTTTATTTTCTCTCCTGAAATTAATGTAATAAAAACCACTTTAATGGAAAGAATATGCACATACCTGTTATATACGTTCTCACTTGCAGCATACTTGTCCAATCTCCCCAGTGGCGTCAACATTTCATCTTGTGAGACGAAGTCCAGGGCTGAAGGTATAATAATCACATCAGACTCTGAGCTGTAGTCATCCACACCAACTATCAGAGACATCAGAAATACTCCTTAAAACACTCTGAAACTAAAAAGTACCCCTTGCCTGTCTGAAGTAGCATAAGTAAAACTGCCCTTAATGAGTCTGGAGTGGTACAAAGAATCACAGGAAAATCTTAGGATCAATTCAGAAACCATAAACAGCTGAAGGATGCTTCCTTGCTGTTTTTATAGGATATGTTCTAAGTTGCCTCTAGAAGCACAGGAGTCAGAGGCTGTAAAAACTCCATATGGGGTGATTACAGAAAACAGTGATCAGGAAAGAGTGATCACAGAGACTAAAAGCTTACACATTCAAACAGAACACAACTTGTAAATAAACTAATGTCAAACACTGATAGTTAATTCTGCAATGCAGTCAGAGAAAAACCTAATATACAGAAAAAGAAAAATTACAGGAAACTTCTCATCAGAAACAATACAAGCCCGAAGACTTGAAAGAACAATGTCAACATCCAACTCTATACTCTGTAAGTAGAAATCTTTCAGATATCTTTGAAATTCGTTCTCTTTCAAATGCAAAGGTGAAATAAAGACTTTTTCATTCATATAAAAGCTGACAGGTATCACCAGCAGACCTGCGCTATAAGATTAAAGGCAATCCAAGCAAAAAGAAAATTATACCAGGTGGGAATCTGGACTTACAACGAAGAAATGAAGAGCATGAGAAATGGTAAATATGTGGGTAAATACAAAAGCCTTCTTGTTTAAAGCGAAAAATAGATACTATAAAATAAAAAGATAAAAAAATGTACTGTGAGAGTTACAACATATAGAGAAGTAAAATGTATGACCACACCAACACAAAGGCAGGAAAACAGTAAAGTATGCTGTCCTAAGGTTCTCACGCTGTATGTGAAAATATACATATTACTTGAAGGTAGACTGTAATAAGTTAAAGATAGTATGTACTAATTATAAACTATGTAGCAACCATTAAACATCAAAAAATCAATCTAAAACATAGAGCTAGTAAGCCAGTAAGAGCCATAAAATAAAACCATAAAAAAGATCTACTCAATCCAAAATAAAGCAGAAAAAGATAATGAAGGGAAGAAGGAACTGATAGAACAAATAAATGGAAAATAGCAAGATGAAAGATTTAAACCCAACCATACCAATAATCACTTTACATGCAAATGGTCCAAATAGCTCAATTAAAAGGCAGAGCATCAAACTGGGTTAAAAGTAAGACCTAATATGAAATAATTACTTATATAGTACAGACAAAATTTTATATAGGTTATTCTGATCTACAATTCATAGCAAAGTTCCTTAATTATGAATCAAAGAGTTGTAAAAATCAATCACTCTCATTTGGCCTCAGTTTTCTCCTCTATAACTTAATACTGTAGAGCTAGCATGACTTCAAAGGTTCCTTCTGTAGGTTCTAGAAATTCTATGTCTATGACCAAACTGTTTCAGTCTCAACTCACACTTGTTAATCTTAAAGATAAACATTAATAATATTGATTCTGATCTATGGAAATTAAGGGGCAGTGGGGAAGATTCCTAGAGTGGTGATTGTCAAACATAACTGTGTTTAAGACTAGCTTTGAGCACTTATCTGAAAAATGCAGATTCCCAGACCTCATATGTAGACGCTGATATATAGATCCGGAGTGAGGCTCAGGAGCATTCATTTTTTAAAAAACACCCCCATCCCACCTCATACATGCATCACACACACCTTTCCTCTCCTTGATTATCGACAGCTTCAACAATCAAACCCAGATTGTCAAATCTATTTGAGAAACATACTCCTAGAGAGTAACAAAATCATATTTTGATTCAACTTTTGTCGCCACTCTATCAATCATGGCTGACAATTATTTCTATACCAAAGGAAGTATTCCCCTCTGGCAGAGGTTCATTCTGCTTCCTAGTACTGCCGCACCTCCTGTCAGTATCTGTGGAATCATTCCGGCCTCAATCCTCTCCAAATTCTAGATTTCCTCAGCAATTTCTGATAGGACTAATAAGGCTCTAGCTTTCACCTTTGTGGAGGCAACAAGATACTGCATGCTTAAGTCTTACCCAGTCACACCCTACAAACTCCTGTCACAAGTTAAAAAAACAAATACAAAATATAATTAAAAAAACTATTGCCACTAATGAAAAAAATTCTACAGCATATAACCTAAGTGATGGTACAGTTAGTAATATCCTCAGATAAAACAGATAGCACAGAGGGAGTAATGTAGCTGTACATTACTGGTGTGACTCAGTTGGTGGGAGCGTCGTCCCATAACCAAAGGGTTGCGGGTTTGTTCCCCAGTCCAGGTGTGCCCGACCCCTGGTCCGGGTGCATACAGGAGGCAACCAATCAGTGTTTCTCTCTTACACTGATGTTTCTCTCCCCCAATTCCCATCTTCTTTCTCTAAAAATGAAAAAATGTCCTTGGGTGACGATAAAAAAATTTTTTTTAAGGCAAAGAGGAATTAAAATTGGATACTAAAAAATAGCATGACTAGGATATCTCGCACAGTCCTGCTCCTTCCTGCCTGCCTTGAAAGTGAGCCGTCCCTCTGTCCAATCTATCTGTTCCTTATCATCAGGTCAATAGTGGCCTAACACTACTGTACAAGTCACCTCACTTCATCTCAGCACACAGACCTTGTATCATCTCACATCATCACAAGAAGGATGAGTACAGTACAGTTAAGATGTTTTGAGAAATAAAATGGGAGAGACCCCCCACATTCATATAACTTTTATTATACGGTTATAATTTTTCTATTTTATTGCTAGGTACTGTTGTTAATCTCTTACTGTGCCAATTCCTGGAAAATAGAGGAGTATGCCAAAGTAGGACAGAGGGCAAGAAGAGGGTATTCTAAGCAGAGAAACAGAAAGACAGGGAGTCAAGAAAAGCCATGTCATATTTAGAAAACTTACAAGTAATTTAGTACCGGTGGGACACGGCGTTCACACACATTCAAAGCAGGAGCAGCAGGGGAATGTGACCAACCAAAATCAACTTACCCTTCTAATTTTTAAAGAGTAACATTATTACATTTTGCAAAGTCCTCTTGCCTGGCTAGAGAAATCACATTACCATCCTGTAGTTAGAAATGGCACTTGAGATTCTAAGTAATAACTTAATTAAATTCCACAATTACCTCCTTGAAGCAACAGACAATTCCAGTAGGCGTGTATACGTATTCAACTGTGCTACAATAAAATTTAATTAAAAATATCAATTATTAATTAAAACCATCATTTCTTTTTTAAAAATAAGAAAAAGCAAAGACAGTGATGGCTTTTCCAAGCCAAACAACCTCTGTCTTTACACAGCATTCTAAGAGAACCTGAGGCCTCATTTCACTCTTCTTCCAATTATCCTACTCCTAGTTGCCAGAGAGCAGAAGAGGAAGGTACAGAGAACCTAGTCCCCTCAAGAGTGCAACATTCTAACTCAGTGGAGATGGTTCAAGTTCTACCTACATCAATACTGTAAGTAAGCCTCTTTTCTATTCCTCCTTAACAATGTTTCATATACTACAAATTCATGCTAACTTCATGCTGACCCAGTAAGAATTTTGACTCCACTACTGTTAAATCTTACAATTCTCTCAGAATGTTTCAAATCCCTATTCTAAGTCCCAAGAACTACTCTCAAAACATCAGCCTCCAGTCCTACCTTACTACCATACATGCTTTAGATGTGCTCTCTAGTGCCAAGTCGGGGGGAAAGTGCCAGCAACCAGGGGAACAAAAGCAAGGAAGAGCACAGTTTCGTGGTGTACCTGATCACCACTCTATTGCCTGACCATACATATATGCTTATGGGCATGAGGAGATTAAAAAGTGCTGCAGCTGCTCTCATAGGCTTCTCAAAATGGACCATCTCACTACCACTGTCTAAAGATGTATTTTCCAACAACATGGCCTAACACCAACAACCTCATCTAGGAATAAACTATAAAAACAGTAAATTACAGTTACAATGGTGGAAGGAAAATATATGACTGTTACATTCGTACATAAACACAGTTGTGTAAACCATACTTTATGAGCAATATATTGATAAAGGTAACTAAGGGCAATTCTGACTACATGGGTGTTTCACTGACACAATGAATCTGAAACTTAAGTTTGTTTATTCTCTAAAATGACTTCCTCATTATACTTCTCAAAGGCAAAGTTCCTTTCGCAGCCTTTCACCTCTTCATCAACACAAACATAACCTGTCCTATTTTCAACTCTTGGGAATCTCTTCCCAAAGATGAGCAATAATTCGTCAACATTGAAGGGCCCTGCTTAGACATTCTGTCTTAACTTCTTTACAGTATTTGACAAAGCCAACTCTCCCTTTCCCAAAAGCCTCCTCTTAAATTCTCTTTTCTTGTGTTCTCTGGAAGTACACAATCCTGAGTACCTTTCTGGACTATTCTTGCTTACTTCTTTCTGACCCTTTTATGTAAAACAGATGGCATAGAGGGAGTAAATGTAGCTCTATTTCCCTCTACTTTTGTTCTCATACATGCATCACACACACACACACACACCTCTCCTGTCCTTGATAATGCACAGCTTCAACAATCACTTACGATGCAGATGACGCCCAAAGATCTCCGGCCCTGATCCAGAGATCCATAGTTTCAGATACTTCACAGAATCTCTACTTTAATGTTGCATTTGTTCTGAAAATTAAACTATCCAAATTGATCTTATAAAAATGAGCTCTTCCTCATGACTTTTCAATTACTATGTTTTTACTCAGTAACCCTGAATTCTTAAACATGAGGTTTTGTTACTTTTTTATTTTTTTTACCATACCTTTCTTGCCTTCATATCTAATTAGATGCTAAGAACTATAAATTCTACTTTTGTAAGCATTCTGTATTCCCACCTCTCATTTCTCTACATCCTAATTCAGAGGTTCTGGTATCTTTTGCTCAGAGCAAATTGGGGTATTCAAACCCTCTGAAGTAGACAAAGACTTTCCTGAAAAATAAATCATACAGCTAACTTTAAGGGATT